GAGATCAACCGGCAAGTTGACGAAATGCTAAAGTTGGGGGTGATCCGTCCATCAGATTCCCCATATGCAAGTCCTGTTCTTTTGAAAGAGAAAACGGATGGGACTTGGAGATTTTGTGTTGATTTGAGACACATCAATAGATATACCGAGAATGACAGTTTTCCCATTCCTCGCGTTCATGACCTTCTCCGTAAGTTGGCCAACGCAAAGTATATCAGTACAATGGATGCAGAGAAAGGGTACTGGCAGATCCCTATGGATCGTAAGAGCCGTAAGTACACCTCATTCTGTACCCAAAGGGGCCTTTTTTGAGTTTAACATGATGTGCTTCGGACTCAAGAATGCTGCGGCGTCCTATCAGAGGATGATGAACGAGCTTCTTGCTGGTCTCGATGAATTTGTGTTAATTTATCAAGATGATGTCCTCGTATTTAGTGACAATTTTAGTGATCACAAAAGGCATCTCGAGACCGTCCTAGAACGGTTTCGAAAAGCTGGCCTGACACTTAAAAAATCAAAATGCCATTTTGGGAACAATCGCGCAACTTTCCTAGGTCACATTGTGTCCTCCAAAGGCATCGAAATGGACCCAGAAAAAGTAAGGGCCATTCAAAATTTTGAATTTCCATCAACCAGAAAGCTTTTAAAGACTTTTCTTGGGATGATCCAATGGTATCATGGATTTATTGACCATATGGCCATTTTAGCGGAACCACTTTATAAGTTGACCTCAAATAAAAGTGCGTATCATGAAACACCTGCCGCAAAACGGGCTTTTCATGCACTTAAAGCCGCTTTCTTAAAAGAAATAGTATTAGCCCACCCGATCACTGGAAAACCTTTCATTTTGAGAACAGACGCCAGTAATATCGGAGTAGGAGCGTACATCTCTCAATTAGACGAATATGGGGAGGAGAAAGTCATTAGTTTTGCAAGCAAACCTTTCTCCTCAGAGGAACGTAATTACTCAACAGCAGAGCAAGAGTGTTACGGAATTCTCTTCGGTCTGGAGAAATTTCGTGAGTACCTTGATGGTCACGAATTTATTCTTCAGACGGACAACCAAGCCCTCACATACCTCGAAAGTATGAAAAATACTAACGCCAGGTTGATGAGATGGTCTTGGAAGTTGCAAGAATGGTCCCCATATATTCAACATATAAAAGGTCGTGATAACTGTGTCGCAGATTTTTTATGACGTAATCCAGGTACAGATTCCACAGAAGTTGACAAAGATGAGGAGTACATGTACCCACCAATTCAGGCATGTTCCCTCCAGCTGGCGTGTAAACTGACCCGTGAAGTCATCCAGCGTCACCAAAAACGATGTCCAGAGGAGATGACTGCACATTACTCATCCCCTGACTTTGAGACGATCAATGGGGTGGTCTATTATACCAAAACTCCCACCATCGTTCCGGTCATTCCATCTTCTCTGGTACCTGAGGTCCTCGCCACTTTCCATGACGCTGTCTACAGTGGTCACTTGGGAGTCGACAAAACAATGGACAGAGTCAAGAAGAGCGCATTTTTCCGCAACATGCGTCAACAGATTGTGGACTACATCGCCACCTGTGACATCTGTCAGCGCGTGAAATTCGACAATCGGAAACCTCCTGGTTTGATGCAATCGTCGCCAGTCGAGAAACCGTGGGCGACCCTGTATATGGATCTCATGGGTCCCTACATCAAGTCTTCTCCAGGAGGATTTACCCATCTTTTAGTCATCATTGATGGGTTTAGTAAGTGGGTGGAATTGTTTCCTCTGCGAAGCACTTCCGCTGCGGTAATTGGTAAAATATTAGAAGAACAGGTATTCTGTAGATTTGGTATGCCAGAGACGATTGTGAGTGACAATGGTACCAATTTTACGTCTACAATTTTAAAATTTTTGTGTAATCAATGGAAGGTTACTCAAAAATTTACCAGTATTTATCACCCACAATCAAACCTGACAGAAAGAGCCAATCGTACTGTTAAAACTATGATTAGAGCTTATCTTGATGACCAGGCTCATAACAAATGGTCGAAACAGATTCCTTTCTTACAATTGGCAATTAACACTTCAACTCAAGAGTCTACAGGTTTTACTCCTGCGTCAATTCTTTTGAATAATGATCCAAAATTACCTTTCGATATAAATGTCGGCCTCACTGACTCTGAACTAAAAGTTTTAAAGAAATCAATTCCAAAATCGTTTCAAGAAATCATATTTGACAGGCATAATCAGTATCTTAAAATTCTCTCTCTTGTCACTCAGAACCTGACCCGAGCCAAAGAGAAGCAAAAGAAATACTATGACCAACGCCATAGAGACGACCATTTCAAAGTGGGAGACCATGTAGTCATCCGAGACACCACTCTCTCTGACAAGGACAAAGGGATAACAGCTGGCCTATGCCCTCTCTGTCGTCCAGGAGTGGGAGTCATTTCTAAAATTGTCGGCGAACTGACGTATGAAGTCACATTTCCTGATGGCGTCGTTAAATCTCCACTTCATATCCAATTCTTACGGAGATACCATCCGCGTCAGCCTCAGACAGCGCCACAATTGACACAACCATCACAAATTACGTCGACCCCAGCTCAGCACTCCAATGTCGACGCATCATCATCTTGTCCAGATAAGGATACTCTTGATACAATTAATAATAATGATGATGCTGTAAATGTTGATGATGTACCAATTAATAATGATAGTTTAAGACATAAGAATAGTCGTAATCTAAACGAGTCACATCAACATGATAATCAAGATTTAATTTCTCGAGAAATGCCAATTCTCAGTCCAATTTCAAATTTTCAAAATGTAGTAAACCCTAGAAATAGTTCACAATCTCTTCCACCACCTCCAAGACGTAGTCGTAGACTACTCAAAAGATCGACGTAATAATATAGCCGGTGGTCACAAGCGTCCTCGGTAATGAGTGGTATTTTTAGGATGTTTGATGGTGAATTTCTCTCATCTTCGAAAGAATGAAGTTCGGTGGCGTCTTGAGGGGTGATGAGCCCTTCAAGGTCAAAGCTAACGTAGTTCTAATTGTGGTATTAACTAGTGGCCACGCAATAGGATGCGTCTTGGCGACCTGACGAACTAGCCAAGGTCAAATCCAGAGAAATTGCATACAAATGAGTAGATTTCACATCGTGCAGTCCTCTGAGTCCCTCAAATCTTCGTCAAGTCGCAAAAATCTTGGTTGATACGGTGCTTGGATTTGTTGAACACGTTTACAGTGATTTTTCCATTTAATATACGTTTTCCATAAGAGTAACTTGATTATCATGGTGTAATGATGATTCATAAATTTCAAAAAATTGTTTCTTAATAATTGTTCGGGAAAAATTGTTTAAATTTACACACATAATAGATAATAAGTTAGTACACTAAGAATAAAAATAAATTTGGAAAAGGCTCCATTAGATTTTTCGAAATTTAGAAAGTTCCCATTTTCCAATGTAAAACTCAGGAATATTGGGGGAAAATTTTTGGAAATATAAGTTACAAAAATTATATATGACAGATGTTAAGTTGTATGATAATATTTAATCATCAAAATACAAAAGGCTCCAATAGTTTTAGAGATAAAAATTCATAAAATTTTGATTTTGTATCCCTACATTACATATATATACATATTTATACATGGTACAGCTTTATACAAGGTTATAAAATGGTGGTTATCGATCTTGGGTTAAGCCAATAAGTATGAATTCTAGCTATAATTAATCATAGGATAATATAGTAGTCTTACAATTTCGTATGGCAAGGTTCAATTGTAGGGAAATTTTGAAATTTCCATTTTCCAATGTTAAAATTCAGGAATTTTGGAACAAAAATTTTCATTGGAACTTTCTGAAAAATTTATTTAGGATAAGTCTACAGTCGTACATTAATATTTAGCGGAAAAAAACAATCGGTCAAGGTTAGTTCTTTAGATAAAAATTCATGAAATTTTGGTTTTTGTACTAATACATATATATGTAACACACAGTAGTCATCAAAACGTCACACTGTTAGTATACATAGTAGAGGTTACACGTAGTATAAATAGTAATTTAGTGATATCAGATTGCTGGATATAAAATTTGGTGTCATAGTTTTTACACATAATATTAAGAAGTACAAAATTAAGTAGGTTATCAAAATAATTTTTATTAATATATCTAGCTATAAGATTAGCTAGTTTAACTTTGGCTCTGCGTCCAACTCTCTTTACGTTACTTCATGGTGGACAGGTTCCATTGTTACGTAACGTTCGGGGAGGGGAGTGCAACCTTTGGAACGCTGATGCAAATGTGACATCAGCATTTCAAAGGTCAAGGGATTCAAAATACATAGATGTAGTTTTCATATGTATCTCGCCTCTCATGTGTGTCCAAACCATATTGTGTGCAGGAGAAGATCACGAAGGGGAAGAGAGGATAGGAATGAGGAGCACAGAATGATGCCTACGTCATCATGATCATCATGATCATGAGGGCGTAGTTTGTGCATATGTAGCGTAAGTAAAGGTAGTGATCAAGTAGGCGTGGCTTATGTGATCACGTATATATAGAGTAAGCAGAGAGAGAAGAAGAGAAGAGTGTAGTTTTAGATTCAGGATCAGCAGGTTTAGTTTTAGTGATCATCAAGATCAAGTTCAAGGTTTAAGGCTTCGGAAACTTAATAATAAGTTCCTGTCTAGATAATTAGTTAAAATTTAAATAATAGCATTAGCTCTCCCACGTATTTATAATACGAGCATTTCTGTAAAGTCAATATTTTTCAGTCGGTATTGATGTAAATAAATTTAATCATAATTCTTATAAAAAAGTGAGTTTCTACTACAAGTTTATTGCACAACGACACAAAGAAAAGGGGCATCCGCGAAAGTGGATGTGAATCAGGACACGCAATCCCATAATGCAAAAAGATTTTGTTTTTACAGATGTATGAATTAAGTTAATAAGTCAATTTATTAGTCAATTCATATTCAATCCAACTCTTACAAAAACAGCTTCAAAAATATCAAACTACTTGAACAATGAGGGCCGAAGATAATCTCTTACAGGCTTCCAATCAAAAAGACTAAAATCAATGCTGTCTGGAATATCTATCTGAATTATCCGACTACTAAATAATCCAACCAATTTAATTAACATTTCAATATATCGTTCCTTCCATCCTGACTTGTTCTCAATCTTCTGAAAATCACATCTGATGGGAGCCCCGTCGATTTCTCCACCAAGCATCTCACACAAACAAACTGCAACTTGACCAACGCCTTCCATCATTTCGGTCTCGTTTTTCTTATCCAAACTGTCATCTTGACACTGATAAATAGCAGGTCCATCCATATCCGTCTTGTGGTATCCAGCAATGGTTTTGGCGTTGGAGCTTTTTTTCTGAGTTCTGATGCCTACATAAATATTTTATGGTGTGGTTAGGTGATAAATTAATATTCTCTGTCTTTATAGTTCTTATAGTATCTTACCAATATGAATACGCCCAATTGTCCCCATCTTCATGTAAATCCAAGACTTTCCCGTTGCTCGATCCAAAACAATCCCATCCATGAGTGGTGACTCAGTACTGACCCTAAGCTCAGAGTCCCCCACAAATTGTATCCCAACACGGAAATGTTCGAGTAATTGTTTGACCAAAGGCCATTTTGCATTCCGGATGAAAACTTGGTCAGCAATCAACACGTGATGCTTGTCAGCGTCAGGTTGTCGTGAATTGTAGAGAGAGAACAGGATCGAAATAGCTATTCGGACACTTTCTTGGAATTGGGTCGACTGTTTCTGACCAGTTGTGACCCATGGACGGGGAGTGGACGGGGAGTGACTAAGACCCATGGTGAAGGAAGACTCTGCCCATCATCGTTGGTCCTGCCTTGTTGTTCTTCATATTTCGAGAATGCGTAAAACTGGTTAGCTCCCTTGGTGGACTTCAGGATTTCTTTTAAAGTGATGATCGTTTTAGGGGAGTGGCTGCCACGAGTACTCAGAAGTGCAAAAGTCGGTGTGACGTTGCTCGTATCGCGTATGAGAAAATGTGTCTTATTCCAGTTTCCATGTTCATCACAAAAATTCTCCAAACTTCTAACTTTCCAGCAATAGTCGTCCTTGCAGATCACTCCTGTCCCATAACTGATCCTTCCATCTTTGAAAGTGACTTGCATCTTCTGTTGTTCATCTTCTTTTTTGCCAGGTAGGTTGACCATCAAAGTTTTTCCAGATTGCAACAACCTATTCAAACGTTTGACATCTTATCTTACTCGAACATATCAAATTATGAAACGGATTGGCATTACAGATACTTATATTATGTATAATTTACTTTTTCATTTCTGGCGAGCTTTTCATGTCTTTGTCCGCTCCGATCCACTTCAGATGGGTTTTCACAGCGTCGAAAACCCATTTGGCTCTAGTATTTGGTGTAGGTGGCGTCCAGTTTTCATCATCATCATCAACTTCTACGTGTGATTCCCATTTAAATCGAGTTGATGCTTTCTTAATAGGGGAACATTCTAAAGATAAACAATTAATTAATTATACAATAATTTCATTCTACTATTAGCTGCAAGAATTAATTACTCGAAATAAACTTACGTTCTACTGGTTCGAATGTGCCGTCCTCTAGCTTAACGTACAATTGAACAATTGATGAACTCTCCTCCGAAACTAAAATTGTCTGATTGATGTTCAGTTTCTTCTTCTTCGTTGGAGGAGTAGTCGATGTAGATGGCTCATCGCTGCTCGACGACATGATAACGGTGACAGAGGGTCAAAATGTTTGGGATGTGGCGAACCAAATAAATTTGAAAAGTTGTGAATCTCAGGAGTGAAAATCAGACCGTGTTGACTGAGGATGAGCGAGTGCTGCGCTACGATAGGTCCCTGCAAGTGGAGCACACAAGCAACACGATTTCTTATCGTTTCCTATTTTTGGATACAAACCCACGCCAAACAGCAACCATCATGGCGTGGCTTCCATTTACATGATACAAACTACAGATTTTGGGAATTATTGCATATGGGACTTGTGTCTAAATACGAAAATAATTTTCAAAAATAATTACAAGTGTTACTTAAATTAACCATTACATGCTGTATCTTTTATTTTAAAGGAAGAAATTAAGCTAGAGTTGGTCAAATTGATGAATTCTCGTGGTTTGTATGAACCTGGTGAGAACTTGAAAGTGAAAATGAGGTTCACTTCGTATTTGTATAAAATATGTATTTTAATGTAATTTTTTCACAAGAAACTCGTGAACTCGAGGCAGAAGATCTTTATTCCAAAATGGAAGCTGACTCTGATAAGGAAAAAATGGTGATTCGGGACATTTTTCTCCGTCGACTTGCCACCCTGAAGCATGGAGAGAAGTGTGATTCAGAAAAACAGTTATATCTTGATAATCCACCACTAGCAAAAGATAGCTTCACATGGGTCGATCCAAAACCTAAAGATGTTCAACAGTGGCAACTTTACTTACTTCAGGATGATAAACCAATTTGCAATTATGTTCAATTTCTAAGATGCGATGAGAAAAATATGCTGTGTAGATGCAAGAAAGGTAGAATTGCAAAATACATATGTACATACCTAGTTTTGCTCGTATTTGTACATATCTGTTACTCTAAATAATATCCAATAACCTGCCAGGACTAGTCTATGAATCCAACCACTGCCGTCTGAAATTGGGTAAAACGTGTGACATCGATTACGATGGAGTTTATGGTTATTAAGGAACAAATTACGCTTTGGATTAATCTACGATAAATTTGGTGACAGCTTATGACATGTTTTTTTCTTAGAATTTGATCCACTCCAAGACCGGAAACGTTTTACTCCTCCGTTTTCACCTGCATGTGTTTCCGGTGCAGAATGCAAAGCAATGCCGCTATTTTTCATGAAGCAATGTTGGTGTCCGGAGGGGAAGATATGTGGGAACAGTTCGTCAACCTCCACGTTCAATCCCTCGACAATTAAAAATTTGACATCCACAATTCAAAAGAGATTCACGCTTAATTTGGGTGAAAGTTGTGATCCAGAGGCTCATTCAGTATTATTAGATCCGAAAGGTAACAATTTTTTATTACAATTTTAACAGACTCACAGTTTCTACGTAATACTGCATTCTCATCTTCAATTCATTACGATTAAGATTCTGAGGTGCGAGACTATAACCTTCGAGTTTCAACACTCCAAAAACTAATCGTTTCTCGACCATCCGTTCATTTTTGCAATCTGGACAAATTCTTAAATTGTTCATCTTCAAAAAAATGCGAGTGTTTCCACCAACTAGTGGAACAGGAAGGAATATGTCGCTCACGTAACCTGGATCAATGTGAATCCACTTTTCCTTACGGAACAAGTCTCTACCCAAGTGGACCTCAATTATGGAAAATTGAACAAATCTTCCAAAAGTCTTTCAGCCCTCAATGTGTCAAAAATGCTGGTTGTGGGAATGATAAAATGATTGGGAAATGTGTGTGCAAAAATGGAAAAGCTGGGCCCTTGTGTAAAGATCCTAAATCGGTGTTTGCCTCAGTTCTCAATCCGTCTCACATTCAAGGCTACAACGAAGATGGAAAAATTAATAAAGTATTTTATAATTTGAACTTTTTCACCTACAAAATGGAAGAATTAATGACATTAACTTATGGAGACGAATGCAATCCTAAATTTGGCTTCATGGTTGAGAGGATTCAATCATTTTACCGAGATATTGGAAGTAGTGAGGATATTGCTAAAGGCAAGACGTTGTATCAGTATAAAAAGGCAACAAAATGGGTCGAGTATTTGCTTAAAAGTGGTGTAACAGGTAAGGAAAAAAACACCAATTGTATTTAGATCTCTGATAATTTATGTTAATAAATATAGAACTCTGCAACCAATTTCACGGTCTAAGTTGTCACCCCATCTCAAAAAAATGCTACTGCCCGTCCACACACGAATATGAGGATAAAATTTGCAAACTTCGACCCAACGAGGAATGTGATCCGAATCCCCAAGCTAGTTGGATTTCAGTCTGTCGTAAAAATTCTCACTGTCTCCCAGCCACATCCACGACTAAGAGCAGTTGTCAGTGTTTGGAGGGTTGGAGTGGACCTGATTGCCAAACCCCCTCTAGAAACAATGGACGACATACGGGCGTGGAAACTTGTGAGAATAATGTCACCATGAATTTAAATGGGGTCATTATCTCAGAATGTTTAGATGGTCTCGTCGAATTTGAAGACAATATTCCTCTTCCACCCGAACCAAACTTATTCTCTGACTTTGCCACCATGCTAGACAGGATTTTAAATCATCGAAATTTACCCATGGACTCGAAATGTGATCCAGATCAAGAGACACAGTTCACAAAACTTTTCCCAACGCTGCCTCATTTTAAGCAGGATGATTACGAATCTCTCCCTCAAGGGAAATTGTTGACCTACAGCGAGTTACGCAGGATTGAAAGGAATGTGGGTGCAAAATTTTGTGACAGGAAAAAGTATTTAGTTTGTAATGGTGAGAGTGGAAGGTGTGATTGCAATTTGAATGTGTACGTTAAAGAGGGGTTGAAATGTAGATTAAGGGAGGGGAAATTTTGTGGGGAGATTGGAACTGTGTATGAAAGGGGGGTGGAACTTCCTTTGTGTGAAAAGGGAACAAAGTGTCGAAAGCTGGGATTTGGCGTTCATACGTGTGTACATGTTGCGACGGAGGATGAGGTCTTTTAATTATTTGTTTTTTCTATACACATTAAATTGGAGAGTAATAAATCCAAAAATAATAAAATTTTTCAACTTGATACGTTCTTTGTAAAGGCTCTACATTTTGCAAATACATCCTGTTTGCGTATGTGAATAAATGAGTTTATGCAGTAATGCCACACAATGCCAGCAATTTCACTGAAATATTTGTGTCATAATATAGGCCACACTTTTTCTGGTGCATGACATAATTCCGTTTAATATGCAAATAAATATATAAATATAGTCTAAGCAATAAATTTTAGTAAAACTGTTATGCTGTCAAATTATTTTTCTTGCAACAATCATTATTTTCAGCAATGAGCAACTAATGGGAAGTAAATAAAAAAAATCAAAACTTTAAAGTGTCATCCTTCACACAAACTGCATATGTTGGGGTGGCAGGGACAAATCCCATGCGATGACCTTTTGGGCACTTCAACAGGCTATAACTATTGACCTGTGGCCAACTTGGGATGACGGGGAAGAGGACAAGATTAGCATCGCTGCGGCTGCCTGAGGGAGAGACGGGGAGTGCCTTGGTAAAATCGAAATTAGGAGTTTTCGATTTTGCTGGGGGGACTTCTCCAGGCTGCTGAGGACTTTCTGGCGTGTCGGATGGGGCCGTTGGCGGCGAATCAGTCGCCTGTTGATGTTTTTCCAGGCAAGTATCCCCGGGTTCGGGATAAGTGCATACCCCTAAAGTCGAGTTGTACACCAAGCCATCAGGGCAGTTGAAGACGTAGACGCTTCCAGCATGACAGACAATAAACTGCCCGCAATGATCAGCATTGTCAAAAGTACCGTAGCCACCAGGACACATACTTTGGTCCATTTGTGGACCTATCAAAATTTTGTATCGTTTTTAACTCAGAGTATTTAAAAAATAATAATTGTTGTAATCTTACGAGAATCCTCTTTCCCTTCACAGTTGACGTGTGAGGGATAGTCACAATTTGAAGTCGTGGGATTGAAGTACAATCCATGCTCACAATTTCCTACTACTCCGGCACCTTCCCAACAATTTATAAATTGGTCACAGTATTGTGGGTGCTTGAATTGTCCATTGGTTTCTGGGCATTGTACAGAGTCATCAGGGCCTTGCCCTTCTGGGGGTGGGGAATCTGAATCTGGAATAAAAAAAATTAGCAGTACTATACTGAAGGCTTCTCTCTCTCTTAGAGTATAATTTTCTATATTAATAGCCTACTTTGTGGAGCTGAAGAAACGCTAGCACAAAAAACGATACATAGAAGAATCATAGATTTTGTAGAATTTGCCATTTTGCCAATTTTATAATAACCTGGACACTAAGGTGAAGTGATAAAATCGAGAACTCACAGATAGAAAAACAGACAAACCTTGACCAGTGACAAAGAAGAAATGGTTAGTTTTCAGCACATATTGAGGAGGTTGATGTTCCGCATCGGTAATAAAAAATGATATGAAAAATTCGCAAATTGACTCACCCGACAAGTGTAAGACGATAGATGTTTGTCACAAGTTGCAGATTCTTATCTTGTTGGACGTAAGTACATTAGGTTTGAATTCTTTTCCAAGTTAATTGGTTAATCTGGACATATTTGTGAGTGCAAACCGGTTTCCTGCTCATTTAGACGGATTTATTTTTTAGCTAATTACTAGGTAAAAGTGTAACTGGGAGAAGTCATTATGACGGTGGAAGCAGAAAATAAAAATAAGACCAAGTTATGAACCCTGCATAATGTCCGAGTAGAAGAAGAAGCGATCGAATTAATTGAGTTGATGTCAACCGTCAATAACAAGACAAGGATGCAAATGAATCAATGTGACGTTGTGTTGGTCCAAATTTTACATGTGTAGGTACCTTAATTTCTCATGCTGCGGATTAACTAACTAATTAGTGCTGGAGTGATGTTGACTAAAAGCCAAAAGCTTTTAATTTAATTTAATTTACAAACTAAAAAAAAATGTCGCAAAAAAATTTCGTGAAGAGTCGACTTCAGATTTATTAAACCAGTTGCAATTGAGATAAATGAGTTTGTCATCTTGTGAGCAATTGTTTCCACAAGATCGATTAATACTGTCCAAAACATGGACCAAATTTTAATTAAAACTACACACCCAGTTTTCTAACAATATATTAACTTTCAAGCTTAATATTATCCAAAAATATGAACAGTTTGATCTGCATTATGTGAATGCATTTGCCTGCCGACTTATTTCAGCCTGCACTTTTAATTTTCTTCTGAGGTAATTTGCATGTTCAGTGAAGATTTTGGTTGTGAGCTCTTTTTTCTCTGATTTTGTCCATGGAACAATATTGCCTTGTCTCATTACAATACTTCTCATGTATTCCAAGGCCTCTGTGGTAAGGAGATTTTAGTTTTAAAAGAAGTTCAAGTTTTTTTTAGTGTTATCTGATATTTACCGAATAATGCTTCCATTTTATTTTGGTTAAATTGCTCTCTTGAACCCCTGCCACTAATGTTCTGGTCTTGAATTTCTTCACTTCTGAATATCTCCTCAAACAAAAACTTTCCAGCCTTCTCAGCACCCGACTTTTCGTCCATCCTGAACCTCTTTATTGCCTCAGTCCAAGCTGATGACTTAATAGTATGGCCACGAATTTTCTGACAAGCATGGAAAAAAATTACGTATTATTCGATATTATTTTTCGTGTCAAATGACTGAACGTGAAATCTCACCACATTTCCCTGAGCATTCACTGGAATAGTTGGCTGTGTAAGATGCATCATAGAAGGCGACGGCGAGGGCGATGAAACATTGCGATCCGCGGAGGTCATGATCGGCGTTGGAGGCACGATGCATGTGAATCTCATTTGTTGGGGTTCACTTTGTAATGTGGGATCTGCTGGCTGTGATTTTGGTGATACTGGTTTCTCAAACTCTTCAACTAATGGACGGCAAGGTCCACTTCCATACTTAATAGAAATGTAGTTGTAAATCTGATTAATTTCAGGAGTCGAGAGATAAACGTTGTGGTCGGGAATTGCAGAGTCAAACCCCGTGCTATCCTCCCACCGTCCTTCTGCCTTGTTTTCCAGAGAGAAGAATCATTGCATTGGGTGTTTCATCTAATTTCATAATTCATTAAATATACAAGTTACCTTAAGTAGCTTTATCCATGCTACAGCTCCTGTAGGATATATGAAAAGGTAGAGAATAAAGTGACCGATTAAAATATATGTACATTTCGTCTAATGAATGTTCAGAGAATTAATAAATTACGTATTAAAGCCAAGACTTTCGGTGGACTCAAATCATCCATACTTCTGAACGGTACTTCCGGAACAAGAAAATCAATTTTCCAATATTTTCGAAATAAAGGTTCCACAATTTCTTCAATTGTGTCACCCAAAACTGCACAAGCCCATCGGTGATATGAAAATTGCACAGCATCCTGACATACATATAGCGAAAATTGGGTTACCTTTGGAGTAAAATTTATAGCAAAACAATAATGAAAACCATTTTCTACACTCACCACAAAAATATCATTGTTTTGTAAAATGACCATTTTTGTAAGTTTTTTTGCAGTTTGGGCTGGATTCCCTAGATAAGTCCTCTTTCCTGACTTCCCAAGTTTGATCACCTTCGCAAATGAGCTACAATAGCTAAAGTCGAGAACCAGGTCCTCTAATATATCCTCATAACCAGCGTTCACTGGGGTCAAAGGGGGCGTTAATGACGACTGCGCACCAATAGCATTGGCGACGAAAGCGTCATCGTCGTCATCATTGTCAGACGCGTTACCCACAATTTCATGCACTTGTATTGAGTCAATCTACACAAAAGAGATGCAGATTATTTGTTTCTATTATTTTATACTCAGGGGAACAAAAGAAACAAATCTGTGTAAAATTACCCGATTAAAAGTGGCGAATGTCTCTGCAATTGCTTCCTTTTCCTCATTATTTGGCCAAGTCGAAGGTTTGAAACTCCAAGGATCCTGATTTTTGTTCATTAGCCATTTTGCTGCTCCTATGAGGAGTTACACATTCATGCATTCTTATTTCATTCATAGATTCATCGTAATGTGATTTTTTATACAAAAGGTGAAATAAAATCTTACGTTGAATTGCAATTTTCTTTATATTCGGCAATTTCTTGACCCCATCATCCCCCGAAGAATTTCTCTTTCTTAGATCGTCCATCGTGAATATCGACTCGCACAATATTTCAGCCGTGGACTTGATGTCGGGTTGGAGAAAGGCTAGTGCCCACCGTTTTGGAAAAATTTTGAACCCTCCTTCTAAGGTCTACATTTGAAAATCATGATATGCAATTTAAGACTGGTCAAAGTAACACATATAATAAATAGCATCACATATTAACTTACGATTGGATAACTTTCGAAACTTTCATAGAAAATTATATGCGTGAAATCAGTTTTTACGGACTCGTGGGATGTTTCTGGCTGTTCTTTTCGAAATTTCTTCCTAGCAAGGTCAATTTCGTCCTTGTATTCATTCATCAAACTATGAAGAGCAGTTCTTTCTGAAATAAAATTAGAGGAAATTAGACACCGAATTGCATAGATAACCTGGAAATGACTGGATGTATGACTTACTGGAAGCCATGTTTTTAAATTAAATACTGCGTTTACAGTATGGAAACAAAGAGTGATCACTTCCGTGTTGCTGCCTGATTGCAAGTGTTTCAAATCCCATGAAACAAGTCCTTTTAATGCAAGTCCATATATATAAATTGAGTATGCAGTGCACATCAAATCCCATCTCATGGTATAGTCACCATACTTGTGGTTAGTTCATGTACAAATTAAGCACGCTAACAATACATAGCTTCGCCTTGTGAACATAATACACACGACTCTTTATAGGCCCATGTCTTCTTATTGTCTGTCTTGTAGATAGTTGGCAGTGGTATACAACTCTAGCAACGGAGGATGAGCTATGAGGTCGAATGTAGTGAATTTTTGGAAATTCTATGAATTGGGCATGTTGAATATGTATGCATTGCGTAAGAGTCGTCATGCTATTTCTGACTAATAAATATCGGTGGTTTGGTTCATGAACGATTTTCATGATCTGATAATAATAATACAACATGGATACACTGTTCATGAGCCTCATGAGCTGTTCATGAGCTTCATGAACAGCTTCATGAGCTTCATGAACAGCTTCATGAACGATTTGTCAATGATGTAAACTCAGAGAATTATGGGTTGCAATATGGCAGTCTGTTGTAATGTACATATGTAACCATCAGAATATAACTATACGTATGTATGAAGGAATGACTCAAACTTCATGAACCGTCAACCAATTTACGTATTCCCTGAGTAAGTATTTATTCCCTTATTACATTTAAGTCCATTTGGTTAAGCATTAGTGGTATATACTTATATATAGATAAACTTGGGTAGATATGCAGTCATCAATGAGGCTTTTCATGTAAATTCAACTTTAGGCGCATTTACTTGCATAAGCATACAGATTAAATGTTCATGAACGGATTTCTGTATGTAAATATGTATGTATTAATATATGACCAAAATGATATATGTATGTACCATATTTATATAGTGGATATAGTATATAGTATGCATACAAGTAAAAAAATATATTAGAATGGGACAATTAAAATTAGAATGCAACAGGATTTTATTGAAAGTGTTCGGTCAAAGTCAGAAAGTAAAACTTTTATAAATCATGGTTTTGAAGAAGTTTTTTTAGGATTCCGTATTTGACTTCCAGTCTCGACAAAAACTTTGGTGACGATATAACGCTCTGGAGTTCGTTCTGGTTTTCCTGACATGTTTTCAAAGTGTTTCAAGGCATCTGAAACAGTAATTTTATGTGATTTTAGTGACATTTCATTATGCAAACTTGTACAATAATAGATTGGAGTAGATTGTAACCTACCAATAATCGCGATCACCGTAGTTTGTGGATATTTTTGTGTCCCATGTCTCCCACTCCATGTCATGGTTTCCTTTTGCTCCTGTGTGAATAATTCGTGAAATAGATACTTGCCTGCTTTCAACGTTCCATTGTTGTCGAACTCCCTTTGAGCTTGATTCCAAATGGCCGTTGGATAAGTGTGCTCGCCAATTGTCTATATTTATGTTGAATGTGCAATTTTTAGATTACGACTGAAAGATGAACTGTAAATAAGGAATGTGGAATTTACAATTTGTTCCCCCACTCCAACAGAAGAAGTACTGTGCGGAGTTGGGAAAAATTCTTGAAGATTTTCGTTGAGGCTTGAGACGTTGATATCACCAGATTTTTGCGACTCCTGATAGTTATCGTTGCTGACTTTATCAAAATTTACAACTAGTGATACCTGATTTGTCGGTAAAGATGGGCTTAAATCATCCAAAGAGGGGCAAGTTTTGGTAGTAGTTGAAATCTGAGGGGATGTTAGAAGAATATTGTTGATTAATCCAGATTCCTCTTGGAAGTTTGAACATGCTGAAAAAACTTCATTTTGCAACCAGTTTTGAATCTCATTTTCTGGAATTGGGGGTTGTTGAAGAGAAGATGGAAAATCATACACGTTGGTAGCTGCTGCACCGAGGGGGGTAGATTGACTGACTGCATTTCCCATTATGGGCTGAGAATCTGTGCAACAAATTTGCACTTGATGATGATTTGGTGGGCTCCAAGAATCTATATCGTCTCCAATCTTAATCCTTGCGTCAATAAAAATGCTAGAAGCGATTTCCTCAAGTCCTTGGTCAATCTGTCGCTTTTCCTCAAGTGTTGGATAAACATTATGTTCCTGGTTTTCAGAATTAAAGTCCCACGTCGAGCCAGTGATGTCCCCTTTTCGGACACTGATGAGAAATTTCACAGCTCCTACAAAAATTTTTACTATTAGGCTTATGAATATTAATATGCTGTTGGTTTCGCTCGATATTGTACGTACGGTAAATAGCAAGTCGTTTGACCGGACAAATATCCTCCACGGTACGGAATAGTTTTCTAGCTTGTAAGAAATCTCTTCTAATGTATTGCTTACAGAGTTTCTTGGCCACTTCCTTAAACCCTTTTATCGCAGCAGCGGACGAGTCAGTAACTCGATTGTTGGAAAACTGTACAGCGTCCTAAACGATGTCATGTAATTATAAGCATGTAATGGCATAAGTCATGATAAAACAAGTATATCAATTTTAGTTGTTTTCAGCGTACAAAGAAAATGTCATTGTTGAACGGAATTGTGCATCTGGTCAGAGCACGTACTGCATGTGCTGGATTCATTTGGGTTCCTTGTGCTGCTAAAAATGAGATGAATTGTTTAAAAACTGTATTCCAGTTGTCTTCAACGTCAAGGATTTGATTATTCAGTGTTGAAAAGAGTTCGTCTACGTTTAGACTATATGTAATATCGTCAACTAAAGCTTGGAAAAGATGCGGATTATCACCAGGAATGGGTCGATAGCTCTGTATTTGTAAAATCAATTGCCAATTATTGTCCACAATTTTGATTTTAAAGCACATTACGGAATGAATAAATTACCGGTTGGTCAAATGAAGCGAGTGCAGCATTTATCACGTGGGCTTGCGCCGACGTTGGCATTTGTAATGTTTCTTGAAACTCTGCTGAACTTGACCATGACCATGGATCCTTCCTTGTCTTAGCATCCATCCATACTGCAACTTCTAATTAAGTAAAGAAAAAAATGAATTTCTGCAAATGTCCACAAGTCTGAAAAGTATAATACTTTTGATTAAGTTGTCACGTAGCTCCAAGTTTTCTGCATGGACAACTTTGCAAAGTTGTCTTGTTATGGATCCGAGATCTTCCTGAATGAACGCGAGTGCCCAATCGGTAGTGGATACGTATACGTTTGGTGCAACTTCCTAAAAGAATTTTGAGAAAGTTTAATTTAATATTTATACCATTAATATATTTGTTAAAGAGAATACTGCTTCGTACAATGAAATGATTAATGAATGCTGTGAAATAGAGAATGTGTGATTCATCGGAAGTGGATTGAGCAGAAGAATCTACATATTAACTACGTATTAATATTATGTAATTTATATTAATTAGTTTTATGTAATTTATATGTAGAAGATTTATATCTACCTTTCATCTCATTTCGAAATTGGTTGTTTAGTTTGCCAATTAAATTTGGAAACTTCTCTTGGATATAAATTTGGGCCTGACTTAACTCCAAAGGAATCGCCTTATTGCTTTCTAGAATTTCAGCCAAAGTTAGCAACCTTATGAAAAATTGTTTAAAAATTGATACTTACTCCGCATTTTCCTGTAAGTTTGTGTGCTAATTATCCAGAAAAAAGTTTCGACGACAAGAAATTCATCCACATACGCTATCTCTAACTTTTTTCACATACTTTGTACAAGTGTTATGTGTATTAAGTAGATGCTGTTGTTACGTAAATGCAACACGACTGAATAATTAAATCTTCTGCGAAATACGAGACAATCCGACCGTATTAACACCCACCGCAGCCCAACTCGCTTTTAGTTATTTATTTAGCAACGATGTTGCACGAATGTTTTATTTAACACGAGTAAATGTGCAGTTAAATCAGGATGCATGGAATCTCAAAATCTGAAGAGACCAAGATTTTTGCAGTACGAACCTTTGCAAAAATATCATGAGTAAAATTGTGCACATGAAAACCCATGAGTTCTTTTTTTTCGAATGCACTGTTGTACATACGTACATATGCTTCTAGTATATGCAAATTATGTACAAGGAAATGAGCACATTCCCTGTAATTCCATTGTTACACATTATGATACTTAATACCCGTATTATTTGAAATATTACGCGAATTTTATAAATTAAATGAGGAAACACTTGTTGAAAATTGTTTTCGAGGGTAGGAGATGTGAGTATAGCTGATGAAATGCATATAAAAATGCTGTTTTCATCTCTGATTTTATTCAGAGAACTGCTTATAAGTATTGCGTTTACTTTCACACAATAGGACAACCTTGACAGAAACTGACCGGTTATACATACATCGCATGTTTTTTTGTTAGATATACATGCATGATGTGTAAATGCATATGTATTTACGTACACAAGCATGTAAATATGTATTAAAGTCCAAGTGGTGTCATCGCATCTCAGCTTGCTGTATCATTTTTGCGAATTAATTAATTCCAGGTCCGAATATTTGGTAATTTTCTTAAAATGGGTGGTGGACTTGGGTTAAATCGTTTCATACGGGAAAATGTACACGAAATGCTCATTGATTGCTTCGACATTTTACTATTTTCTACAATTTGTGTGTTCGTACTGTTGAAACTTCTTCCATTGTACTTTGTTCACAAGGCAAGACGAGGAATCAAGTAATTTTCTTTGATTATACATTTGTTATCATGTATGAAAATTTTTAATTAGTGATAACTTTGCAAATATCTAGAGCAAAATGGAGTACTTCTCCCAAAGATGTGGTCATTTTACATACAACTCCTCGTGGAGTTTTGACACCTTGCATTTCACCCTTCGCATTGAAGCTGGAGACCTATCTTCGAATGGCAAAAATTCCGTATAAGGTCAGAACAAGTGGGAATTAAGGTTCTTGCAATTCAACGTGCATGCATATGTCGTGTAACTGGTATCGTTGATTTTGAATCTAGTTTGATGGTGAATTTCCATTCGGCAAGAAAGCCAAGACGCCCTGGATAACATTAAACGGGAAACACATTGCGGACTCACAGCTAATTATTGAAACTTTGAACAAGTACGAGTACGTATATTAATGTCTGCAGATATGTCAAGGATTTGAATGGTTTAAACATAAATATTATTAAATCTTAGAAAATTTGAGGTAAAACTTGGCAACTATAATGAAACTGAGCGAGCTTATGGAAGAGCAACAAGGATTATGATTGATGAGCATATGTACTGGTAAGTTCTTATGGTTTGTGGTATTCGTATAAAAATGTGATAATATTGCAGAAAATGAAGAATTATATTATGTTCTGTTCGGTCAGGGGAGGCGTCGTTTGGCGATTTTCATATTGTGACCAAAAAGTTTTGAAAGCAATGTACAAACCTCTTTTCAAGAAGTATAATTGGATTATGAGGGAATTTTTGTGGCGAGGAGTCGTTTCCAAGATGAGGGGCCTCGCGTGGGCTCAAGGAACTGGGCGACATTCGTACGAAGAAATTGTTTCAACTATGAACGAGTCCACCTTTGCTCTGTCCAAGATCCTTGGCAATAAGAAATTCATTCTTGGAGATTTACCTTCTGAGGATGACGCTGCCATATTTGGTTTGTTGGCGCAGGCCTTGTATTCCTCCCCTGGAGCCCCATTCCATGATGCTTTCGATAGTAAGGAACATAATATATTGTCTTAAAGAGCATAATATTTTCTGTGCTTATAAATTCTTTCGTTTCATAAAGAGTGTCCAAATCTTGTGGAATATACGAACCGCATGAAGGAATTGTACTGGCCGGATTGGGATGATAATTTGGCCAAACCGTAAAAATCTTTGAAGATGCTAAATTATTTTGACAATACTTTGTTCACATCTAAGAATAAATCAAGTTTTAATTTATTAGGACTGATTTTGGTTGATAATAAATGCCCTACAATTTTATGTATTCTATCTTAAATATATTAAATAAATAAGCTTGCCTGCAAGGTTAGTTTGACATGTCAATCGATAACCAATAGTTCAAGACTCATGACCTATGCAGTGACTTCGTAAGGACTATAAACAGTTGAACGACGTAGACATTTCTATAATATACTTAATTTGTAAAATCTGACAGTGTTTTTCGTTAGCAGTCACTTTCACAAGGGCCAAAAATGCGATATTTAGAACTAGCTATTTAATACTATGAGTACATAATGAATGATGCTATATATATAACAATTTGATTTGTTATTCTGAGACATCACAAGTGAATAAAACTGAAATTATTAAAGCCGATAAACACACAAAAATAACCCGACTACTTTGACGCCAGTGCTAAATTATCCGTACTACAAATTCGCTCACCTAATTTTTGCTGCGCGTCAGCAATTCGATTGTGATGAGCTTCCAGCCGTACAATATTGCATTCTATTTCTTCTAGCCGTTGAAGTTTCTTTTTGTGATATTCTTCCAACGTTAAATTTTGTTCTTCTCTCAGTTCTCGGAAGTCCTTGTCGAGTTCCTTATGCCAAGGGTACAGCACGAAGTACTATATTGACATAAAGGTCAGCTCTTTTAGTTAAAGGTCCGAATAAAGAAGGCAAAACTGTGCCAGCAATGACAGCGTTCATGACTTAACTCGATACATCAATTTTCTAACTATTAAGCTATTTGACAAACCTGAAACCCAAGGGCAGAAGTTGCAACTGCAAAATTGATGTATGGCAAGATCTTGCGAAGAGTGGGTCCCAGCACCATGGTTTGGTCTTTATGGCGAAGATTTCGTCCAACCCAGAAGATTCTGCGCATTCAATATTAAACCATTTAATTGAATCAAAATAATGAAACTTATTAATCTAGTGAAAAAAAATATAAAACTTACCACTCTTCTTGACAAACTGATAAAATGTGTATTCGACGTGGCCAATAATGGTAAAGCAGTTGAGAGACGGTTAAGTCTCCCTTGTCACCTAAATTAAAGTTTTGCACTGCAGGTTCCAGTGGTGAGCCTGTCAGTAGTGCACCTGCCTACCATCACGTAATCAAATTCTCAAATTTTCTCGTCCTTCTGGAAATTATTCAGAATTAGTCAGGGTAATATAATTAAGCCGAAACTCAAATTAGACTTTCTGTCTGTGATATTTTCCTTAGAGGCTGGACAACAATATAATTATTTTGTATCTCGATTTCATAATTTTTTGGTACTTACGTGTCTGTCACTTCCGGTGTTGCCGACCACCTGGAAATACTGACCTTTGCAGCTTGTCACGTACATAGAATTCACGGTTCTGAAGAATGATCAGGAAAGTTTTGGCAGAAATTTTTCTCCGGGTTGCATATTGCGATGGGGTGAATGGATGCTCTTCCTTCCTTGGTCATCGTTTTTCTTGTTGTCGCTGCAGATATCATATCGACCAAATAATTATGTACGTAAATGTCGTTAAAGTATATAGCACCCCAGACCCACAGAATATCCACAGCCATGAATTTTTGTGTAGAGTACTTATGAAAAGAATACAAAATGTAAGCGTATCATGCATACAGTTTAATAGTCAAAAGTTTCTTGAAAAACATGAATTTTAATATATGTAAGCAGTATAAAAATCATTTAAGCCTTTAGTGCTTTCTTTCTGCAAACTGCATTTACATAATGATTCAGATTTGCGTGGTTTGCAATTATCATAATTACATTGCATTTCTTTTACAACTGAATTGAATCATTTTTTTTATCAAAAGATGACTGTCAAATTGAGACATCTCCGTATTCCCCTGGAAAAAACTTATCAAACATGCAACCACTTTGGTCATTCCAGATATTCATCTCTTCATTCTATTGTACTGCTAAAAAATTCTTTGACCTCGATCAAGGTTTGACACGTGCAGAAGTACTTTTTTCTGTTGAGATATGTGCATATGTGCATACATACATGTATACTGCATATGTAGGTATTATTTAAGAGGATAAATAATCTGGTGGTGATGATCTCGCAATGCAACGCAGGACAGCGCAGAACGATATAAAGTTTTTTTATGGTTGTTTCACGGATCAATTTATCCAAGAGTTAAGCATCCAATGAAATGCGTGTTGAAACCTGAAAATAAGTTGTTGAATGGAGCATGTAACACTTAACAAACGCAACTAATAATATAAGTATATAATTGTTAGTATTTATTTTGGCAGATATTACACAATTTTCAGTTATGCAAGATCATGAAAAAGGAATGACCATTGTCAAGTCGAATGGGTTCAGATTCAGAATACCTTCACCTTCCTTCATTTGCATAAATTAAATTTTGCAATTTTGCATACTTTATTCGATTTGAGTTGATATATTTACATGGTAAATTTCTAAAATGATTTCTCTGTGGTTCGGATTTGTAGCAGTGACACTTGCTTTTCTTTTCATGCAATTGTCTAGGAAGGATAAGCGAGAACTGCCAGGTGTGATATTTCGATTATCTATTCCAAGCTTATTTTTCTAGAAAAAATAAAAATAAAAATTCGAATATGGATGTCTAGGTCCCGTTGCATTTCCAATTTTAGGCAACATTGTGCAAATGATGTCTGCATTTCAAACGTACACTTATCCTTTCACTCACTTTGCCGAGAAATATGGAGAGATTTATCGTCTCAAGCTTCCCTTTGATGAAATGGGTAAGTAACATTATGATCAATCAAGGTCTTGTATTTTACTTTATGCAAGTTAATATTTATGCCTATTTACATACATATTAACTAAAATTATGAATTTGTCTATTTCTAGTTGTTCTAGCATCATATGATGCAGTTAACACTGTGCTTAGCAAAGAAGAGTCGTTTGGTCGTGATCTCAGTGGGATAATGATTGACAGAAATTTCGGTCAAAATATTGGCATGCTCTTTGGAAACGGTGAAATGTGGGATAAGAGTAGGAAATGGATTGTTCGAAATTTACGTGATTTCGGCTTTGGAAAATCGCACCTTCTGGAAGCCTCTGTGAATAATGAGATTGACAATTTTTTGGATAATTTGGAGGAAAGGGAAAAGGATCCTTGCAAAATAATTTTACCAGTAAGTCAAACTTTTCTCGTCCCCGTTAGCCGTGTCATGTACAAAATGATGGCTGGATACGACACAAAAATTGAAAATGAGACATTGCTTGAAATGAACCAACAAACATCGTTGATGGAGAAAGCCAGTGGAATTACGGGAACTGTGGGAGCGGCTTTAGCTATGTACATTCCTCAAATTAGATTTATTTTCCCAGAATGGACGGGTAGAAATGTTCAATTAAGTTGCAGAGAAACCATGCAAAAGGAATCAAGAGTGAGTTTTTATCTATCATTGAACTACGATGATGGAAATTTATCAATATTTCCATAATTTTGGGTCACAGTTAAATTAGAAAGATTTCTGCTTGATATTTGTAGAAATTACTGGCAGTAGCTAAAGATAAAATGTCCAAAAGTGGGGTACAAGCTGACTCATTGACGGAAAAATTTGTACTGCAAATGAAAGAAGAATCTAAGTTAAAAATCAATTCTGGAATTTTCACAGGTAGATAAAATTATAAATATTGCATAAGGCATTTGTTATTACAGATTTGAAGGTGTAACGTCTCAACATTCTAGATTTGAGCCATGACATTCTGTTTGCCGATCTTTTCCAAGCCTCTAGCAACACTACTGCTTCATACTTAGAAGCATTCTTTCTATTCATGATTCTTTACCCAAATGTCCAAGAAAAGTTGTTCCGCGAGCTGCAGGATACTATTCCAGATGGACATGAAATTACATACCATGATAAAAATAGGTGATCATCACTAAATACTACTATTATCTGATAAATTTTATCGTATTGAGGTATTTTTTCTCGGACCATGCATTTAGAATGGTCTATGCACAAGCCGTGATGCTGGAAGTACATCGCGTCGCGAAAATCACGCAACATCTTCTCCCAAGAAGGGCTATAACTGATTTTGATTACAAAAATTTTCGAATAAAAAAGGTAAGTATGACGCAGAAATAAATAGGAGCTTAACACGAGAACTCTATATAATTGACTAGCGATACATGTTACTACGTAGAACTCCATTATTATGGCGGACATGAATTCTCTCTTCAACAATCCTGGTATTTTTCAAGATCCTTTGAGTTTTAACCCAGAGAGATTTATTGATGCAAATGGATCTTTGGTCAACGAAAAACTTGTTATTCCATTTAGCGTGGGTATGTACTGTGCCCTTGAATAATTCATTCAATATGACTTATCAGAAAGTGTTCCTGTACTGTAAAATGGGTATATTTATATATTTGTAAATAGGAAAACGAAGCTGTCCTGGGGAATTATTCGCAGATGTGACAGCATTCTTAATGGCAATGCATTTCATTAACAAATACAAACTGAGCACCGTCCCTGGAGAACCAAAACCTAAAGAGGCCATGCACATTGGGATAACTTCTTGTCCTTATGAATTCTCAATGCTTATGACGAAACGACAATGAATTTTGAAAACTATAGTTTTGCATAAAGTATGGTCATGACTGAATTTAATTATCAATTTACGTATTTATTTAATGTACCAGTAATAAGATACCGAGGTTATAGATAGAATTAAATAAAGTACACTTTGTGTCGAAGTCGCAGTTTGTTGAATGTAAAAAATGTGATAAAATTGCAAAGCAGTCTTGTTTTTGCTGAATCATCCAGATTGCAGCTAAAAGTAATACATAAATATGCTGTCTGGAAGCTTACATTTATTTATTTGAGAAATATTTAGCTGGACATACAGCACATCTTAATTTTGTGTGACATACATGTAGATGGTCTACCTATATAATATGTTCATATTTTTAGCAAGGTCTTTTATCGACCCACTGTACGAGATTTTGCTTACATATAAGTATTTATATGCTCATGCAAACACAGCGTAAACATTTATCAATTCGAATTGAAGTATTCTGATAAATAGTTAAATCGTTTGTTACTACAATGTTTGATTGAAAATGGGAATATATATACGACTTTATCAATATCAGCACTGATTGTACTAGAATTTATGCATGTGTATCAATTTTATATAAAGTACTGAGGACTAACCAAAAACTACCCTTCAAGAATCTTCCCATCCGGAAAGAATTTCTCAAAATTTCTCAATATTATTAAAGGATCGCACCGCTTTGTAGGAAAAAATGTCACCTAAAAATTTTCGATACTTTGTTAAACAAAATGGTAAAGGAAATATCCAAGTTATAGCTCTCGGGATTACAAACTTGACTAAATCCTCAAGGGCTTTCATAAATTTCACGAACACGTTCCGAGCTTTTCAATTTGCACACATATTTAGCATGTATGTAGGTATGCAAATACATCTGTAGAAACATCTACTCTTGTAATCATGCCATCATCATTCATACGTAATATTATTTTTCCTTAGTTAACTTTGACTTCTCGAGTTGATATATTCTTGCATGCAACTTTTTATTTGTATAGATATTTGTGTTAATGAGTGAATATATATTACCAACTGGCTCATCCTTACAGCATAGTATCAGTCTGTCAACTACCTTGAACACTACACAAAGCACTGGTCAAGTTTTTGTCTTAAATCACAAACAGTATTATCATAGTCGTTGGAAAGTTTGGATGTCCACTCCCTGTTACATAGTCATCATGCAACATATGTATCAGTTGCACAAGCATTTGAATTAAAACTCTTCACAAGTGTCAAGTTTTACCTTTATCGAACAGTTACGCATTGCATACATATATTCGCATACATTGTATCATTTTTATCATAGTGAAATAATTTGCGACAAACCTTTTTTCATTCACATATTTGGACAAATAAAACACTACTGATATACACAATCGTACAGAAAAACATGTACATGGTGTGTGATGAATGTAGTGAGACTGAAATAGGGAAACACTTTACGTTTAATGAGAAAATACTTTATAACAAATAAATGATATACATATCTAATGGAGAATAACAGATTGCAGGCGTATGTACATCATATGTACGTGATTTTTAGTAAAAACTCTCGTGCTTTACATTAACCGGACAAAACCTTACCCTTTGACCGGAGTTACCTCTTGCAAGTTCGTATTCTGAATTGAAGTACATACCCATATAAACTAATCTTGAAAATTGGTCCATGCTATTCATTACATATTGTACGTGGCCATTAGTGCGCATTTACCAATAAACCTACAAGACCCATATCTACATGAATTCGCTGAAGGAACAAAGTTGTCTGCAATTGTTGCGAGATCTAATTCAAGGTTAGTTGTAAAAATGTATTGAGAAATATTTTCAATTTTTGGTACAAAATTATTTACGTATTTTGTGTTCAATTTCTTAAAGATGATCCTGATTTATGTTGCTCGGAGGAGGAAGAGTTTCTTATGAGATTCCTTCGAGCTAAAGATTTCAAAGTGGACCAGGCATTTCAGTCAGTAAGTGAGCATATTGAAATTTGTTTATAATTACTGTAATTGTAATAATGTTTTAATTTAGCTAAAAAACTATGTTGAAATGAGAAAAGGCTTTCCTACCACATTTTATCCTAGCGCTGTGAAAAGCACGTTAGAAAGTGGAATGGTAAATGTACTCAAACATCGGGATTCCGATGGACGACAAATATTCTACTTTCGAACATGTATGTAATGTATTTCTGATCTTCGACATGCATAACCCAACGATTTTATCAGGAATCAATCCGTGTGTATAGATTTGTGGAACACAAAATTCCAAAATGCAGACGACGTATTTATAGCATGCACTTTGATACTGGAAGAAATGCTGAACTGTGTGGACACCCAGAAAAATGGAGTTACATTCATCCACGATTTGAAAGGACTGGGATTCAGCCATTGTATGACTTTGGGACTCCCAGAACTTAAACGGATATTTCGCATAAAGGTTTATTTTGAAATCTTGGAGCATGTCGTCTCATATTTCGTATTTATTAAAAGGAAATTATAATTAATTAATAATTTTATTTAGGGTGGATTTCCAGCAAGATTTAAAAAAGCGCATGCCGTCAATCCGAGCACACCTTTCTTTATTTTAAACAAATTAGCTTACGCCTTCATCCCAACGAAACTACACAATAGGGTAACTTTCCGTAACTTTCCGTTTGAAATTAGACTGTAAAAATATTCTGAATATTAAATCTAACTGTGATCAGGTAACTATTTATGGGAAAGATATGTCCGCCCTGTATGAGAGTATACCTAAAGAATGTCTTCCCAAGTCACTGGGAGGCTTACTACACGATGATGACGCCATAGATCACGAACTCATGAATCGCTTGATGAGCCGAGACGAATATTTCAAGACAACGTCCGCCCTTATATGCAACGGAAGCAAAAGAAATAAATCTTAATTACTGACAATGATCTTCAAACGTGTAAGTAAATAGTATTATTCAGTGAGCGATTAAAAGTAAATTTGTCCGTGCATAATACGGGAGGATTTGGTACGCTCATAATTATCCTTTTAAGTATTTACAAGAAATTAAAAAATAAAACAATCTTGTACGTCCAAAATTTAAGTATAAGTTCTGGTTGAATTTCCGGTTGAATCCTTTCCTTGTTCTTGCTGGCTGAACTGGAGTAGCACGACGATGTATGTTGTTAAAGCACTTGTCACCTATTATTGACGCATAATAATTTCATAATTTTAGACACTATTTACATAATTGATAAATCGTCTTACGGAAGTCAGTGTGAACTTGTTGATTTGAAAATAGTTTGCAGCCGTCAATGTAATCGTGTTAGTCGCTAAATCTCTCTTCAAGATGGAAATTTGATGCTGCACTTTTTGCGAGAATTGTGTATAGGGAACCGTTTTTAAAATTTGCAATGGTTCTTTCGCCTACATATTTCATAAAATTAAATTGTAATCAGCAAGTTAAATATCTTCATTAATTATTGTCTTACTTCGTTCACCATTTCGGTAGTTCTGCAACAGAGTTTGTAGAAAAAGTACGAATGAATAAAAGCCTCTCCCAACAGGGTTATAAAGTAGCCGTCAAGAAATGGTTCAAGGGATAGATTTAGGTTGGGTTGGTCCTCGATAGGAAACTCGTCGGGCATGTCACCATTCTCATTTATATAGTTTTTGAAAAAATTTTGGGAGATAAATCTTGTGGAATTATTCCTTTGCGAAATTACTGAACGCATAGATGAATGCACGTTGGACCCGTCATCGTCAGAGTCGCTGGGGGCGTTGGTGATAATTGGGACCAAAATGTAGAAAACATCCACAAGTAGATTTGCAATCAAAATCAAAACTTCAATAATTAGCGAAACTCCGTATATTTTACTGACTGAACCTAACACATTTTCAGCCACGACGTGAATGTCTTTCACTTGATTCAGAGCTTTCAAAACATTTTCATCGCGATTTGCATGTTCCTCAAATTCCTTCAACACTGTAATCTTTTTTCGTTGTTTAATAAGAAGTAGATTTTGGTCATCTTCAAAAATTCCGAGTAAATGGTCATTCCCAGCTCGAAGACAAACGGTCACAGCTACAATTATAAAGCCAGCAAGGATACTGACCAGGATGTGACTATAGCTGCAAAGTTTCCACATGATGTAGCCAAAGCTGATGCACAAGTAATTAAATCTTGTAACCTCTACGATTTGCAAATTGTAGTAGATGTAAAATTGAGGCATCATTTTGTCCAATTCTTGCATAAATATGTTTAATTCGTTGATAATCATGGCCAGAACATAGGTTAAGACCGCGTATTGCGTGAACCTAAAAATGACATTAATCTTTTGACGTTTTTAGAAAATATGTACGGGAAGCGTTAATGTAAGAACCTGGTTAATTTCTTGAGACCATGATATCTCTTTCCATGCAGGTCCACCACGGAAATGTGCATCAGTTTTGCCATTTGCCCCCACACCACAGGCATTTTTCTCGAGACAAAGTACCCCCGGATAAGGATGAGTAGAAAACCCAGCACGTGGGTGACCTTGCTCAGGATTAAGACTGCGGTTTCAGTCGCCCCTTTTCTTGGATTATCCAAAAATCCAGTCGTGATTGAGAGAGGAAGGAAGATGAAGCTCAAAAATATCATGCATACTCCAAACACAAATGCATAAGCTTGGGCTACAGAACAACGGTAATATTTCAATCGACTTCCAAACAGTGTCGTTGGTAGCAAACCAAAAACCATGTTGAGAAGAATTATTGGAAACCCGTTGCGCATTAAGAGTTCAGTACTGCGGGGGTAGCGCTCTTCTCGTCGAATCACGGTCACTTTTCCAGAAGGGTCGATAACTTTACTTTTATCCGCCTTTCCCATTTTTTAAAGTTACCTAAAATTGGATCACCAAAAAAAGATGGTTGACACTCGAAAAAATTGCTCACTTATTCTAGAACTATTAGACGCAATAAATAAATTACAATATCTGGAATCCATTTAGAAAGATTTATTAACTAAACAAACACTAATTGAAAACCCTTGTTAGCTTAATGCTTACGTGCAGATGGTACATATTTGTCAAATTTGTTCTATGAAATGGTCATCTCGGGAAAATGTTGATTGTTAGATATTTCACCGATAGATACGAGAACGTGCATGTTTATTAGCCATTGGTCGGGTTGATCAATGGATTTTTACAGACCGACACATAAAATTCGGTGATCATGTCCTAGTCATATCATAGTACACATTCGATTACTTCAACGTATCAAATATTTTGTCAGTGGTGATGCACATGTAATTGCGTCACTTTTGACTTGCGATAACTCTCCAAAAATGCATCCAATAGATTTTGTAAGCATTAGTGAAAGCAAACGAGTAATTTCGTAAGATTAGTAAGATCGGGCAAGTATTTGACCCATAGAGGTCAACGGCTAAAAATTAATTGTAGGCCAATAACTTGAGGTGTCTAAACTTTTATAAAATCATGTCACAATATTTATTTTAAATCTGTGCTTATGGCTTTATATGCTGCAAAAAGTGAAAAACAGAGACATGACTGCCAGCTCGTAAGAAAAGTTTGAATTCTGTGAACGAGCTTGGTTTTGAACAGACTTTCTACCACCCCACCGGAAACGTGGTTTCTAAAAATAGAGTCAAATCTCTTACAGTTTGAAACAGTCTGCTCACATACAATTAAGGATTCATACATATGTATGTATGTATTGGTTATGCGGAACGCACACTTCTTTTGCAGTCTTTGCTGTAGTTGAAACTTTATCGCATTAATAAATATTGCTTTTAAAAATAATTATTCGAAATGGGTCCAAAATTCGATCCCGCTGAATTAAAAGTTGGTAAGTGTTCATTTAGCAATGCATATGCTTATTTGACGCCTACTAGCTTGAACGACAATTAAGTTCCAAATTGCATATTGCAGTCCATTTGAGATGTGTTGGTGGAGAAGTAGGTGCAACTTCATCACTGGCTCCAAAAATTGGTCCACTCGGTTTGGTGAGCATTAAAAAAAGGTCGGAAATTATGCAATGAAGCATAATTTACTTGAATATTTTACAGTCCCCAAAGAAAGTTGGGGATGACATTGCCAAAGCCACGACGGAGTGGAAAGGACTGAAAATCACAGTACGACTGGCAATTCAAAACCGTCAGGCTACAATTTCTGTTGTCCCTTCTGCAGCCTCCATGATTATTAGAGCGCTTAAAGAACCATCCAGGGACAGAAAGAAAGTGAAGCATGGTATGCCTAATTAACATTTATGCGCAAGATATGTACGACAGTACGACCACTTCATAAATAGGACCACCTTCACTTATCCGACTGATTTTTATTAGTGAAACACAACGGAAATATCACATGGAACGACATCATCACCATTTCCAGAGCTATGCGACCACGATCGATGGCAAAGACGCTGAAAGGAACGGTCAAAGAAGTTTTGGGAACGGCACAATCCGTAGGATGCACGATCGACGGTGAACTCCCTCATGACCTCATTGATGCTGTCAATAGTGGCGAGAAGGATGTTCCAGATAACTAAAAAAAACTTACATCGTTATGTAATTTCTTTTACTAATGAAGCAATAAAGGGAAGTTTACAAAGTTTTAAAAAATGGCCAATGGACGTACTTACAGCGCTTGTGTGGAAACTTATGGGTATATTATGTAAATTGATTTAGGACAAAATAGTCCCAATTTGTTTTCAAATTTTGAACTTTTTTGCAGCTATTATTCCTTGTAAATTACAAATCATAAATATGTCCCGTATATGAAACACCTCCATTATATCTAGTATTTGCATAATTGATTAATTGACGTGCTAGTAAAAATCCACAAGGAACCCAAATGAATCCAGCACATGCAGTACGTGCTCTGACCAGATGCACAATTCCGTTCAACAATGACATTTTCTTTGTACGCTGAAAACAACTAAAATTGATATACTTATTTTATCATGACTTATGCCATTACTTACTTATGACAACATGGCATTACTTAGGACGCTGTGCAGTTTTCCAACAATCGAGTTACTGACTCGTCCGCTGCAGCGATCAAAGGTTTTAAGGAAGTGGCCAAGAAACTCTGTAAGCAATACATTAGAAGAGATTTCTTACAAGCGAGGAAGCTATTCCGAATAGTGGAGGATATTTGTCCTGTCAAACGACTTGCTATTTACCGTACGTACAATATCGAGCGAAACCAACAGCAAATTAATATTCATAATGCTTGATAGTACAAATTTTTGTAGGAGCTGTGAAATTTCTCATCAGTGTCCGAAAAGGAGACATCACTGGCTCGACGTGGGACTTCAATTCTGAAAACGAAGAACATAATGTTTATCCAACACTTGAGGAAAAGCGACAGATTGACCAAGGACTTGAGGAAGTAGCTTCTAGCATTTTTAGAGAAGCAAGGGAGAAACTTGGAGAAAATCATCATCAAGTGCAAATTTGTTGCACAGATTCTCAGCCCATAATGGGAAATGCAGTCAGTCAATCCATCCCCCTCGGTTCAGAAGCTACCAACGTGTATGATTTTCCATCTTCTCTTCAACAACCCCCAATTCCAGAAAATGAGATTCAAAATTGGTTGCAAAATGAAGTTTTTTCAGCATGTTCAAACTTCCAAGAGGAATCTGGATTAATCAACAATATTCTTCTAACATCCTCTGACATTTCAACTACTACCAAACCTTGCCCCTCTTTAGATGATTTAAGTCATCTTTACCCACAAATCAGCAGAGCTGGGAATCAATCGGGATTACCCAATGTTAAAGAATAGAGGGATTGGGGATTGGGATTGGCCATTTAAACACATTGATTGATCCGGATTGATTCCCAGCTCTGCAAATCAGACATCACCAGTTGTAAATTTTGATAAAGTCAGCAACAATAACTATCAGGAGTCGCAAAAATCTGGTGATATCAACGTCTCAAGCTTATTTTATTCATTCACTGCATAATAATAATACTTAATACTCATGTATTTCAAGATCACTGTCGGTAATTAATTAAGATTTATTCCTTTTGCTTCCGCTGCAAATGTAAGGGCAGAAGTTTTCTTTAGATCTTCGGCTTGTTAAACGATTCATAAGTTAGTGATCAGTGGTGTCAATAATTAATGCTACATGTAAAGAGCCTACATATTCACGTAGAAAGCCTTGAAAAAATTCACGACTACATGAGCATATACATTCCGGTTTTAGAATGTTTCAATTTATTGCATATGGAGTAGGTAATTAAGGAACATAGGACACTATATAAAGTTGCATTGACACGTATAAAACTCTTAAATATTTAGATAATAACGGCGGGTGTGGGTGATACTTTATTCCTCTGAGTTATGTTGTGCACGAATAAAGTTGAGGAAAACCTGTTCGAGTGAAAGCAGTGTATAGTTTACCAGATCAATTTACTAAATTTATTATACGTTGACTACCTGCTCGCGATTACCTACCTGCTCTAAACTTGTTTGTCCGATATTGTACTGGACTTGAAATTTCTCCTTGGCAATTTCCATCACTTTGAACATTTGTGACCAGGTGACGCCCTGGTCATTTCGAACCCTGTAATGTACAAAGCCTTGATGAATATCTTCAAGGGTTGAGCCAGGGAGGGATGTCTCAATGAAGGATCGTAAGTTAGCCAGCTTGGAACCCCACGGCTCCAGCGAATTGTTGTAACCGCTGGGTTTTCTCCGACGTTTCTGGATTATTTAGTTCGATAATATACATTAACCTACAGAGCATAATTTTTTGCATGTTGGTGCTACTTACCGTGCTGGTGCTATCTTCGATCACTTCATCAGTGTCATCATCTATCTTTGTTTGAGCAATAAGGGTGTAACCTTCACCAAATTTGCTTTTTAGCTGCTGAGGAGATCCACAACAACGAAATCGACCATTCACCATAATTGCTGAAATTTCATGTCACTAATTTATAACTTGTTTCCTATAAGATGTAGCTTTCTTAATCGAGATATAATTTACCTAATCGAGTACACAGGAACTCTGTCTCTTCCATGCTAATGGATTTCAGAATTTACAAAGTATGAAACGTGGATTCAGAAAGCAATATATACATGTGGGGTGTACCTGTGAGATGTCAAAACAACGGATGTTCCGCTGTCTCTTATTTTTGAAATACAATCCCACAAATGACGTCTGGCTACGGCATCAATCCCCGACGTAAATTCGTCAAGAAACAAAATGGGAGGATTTCCAATTAAAGCAATTGCAGTTGAGAGCTGAAAATAATTCACACATAAAATGAAGAATTTTTAAAAAGTTCTCTATTTGTTGGTTTAATTTACAATTTGGCTTACTTTACGTTTGTTTCCACCACTAATAAAAAAGTAGAAGCACATTTAATATGTAATTACTTTTTGCGAATATCTAAATGTCAAGAGAAACTGATACATACCTGTAGGTTTTAACAATTCGATCCAAAAATTTTGTAAATAATAGATCTTCTGCTAATTTAACGGTAGTTTGATGAATGCATGCTTCCGGGATTCCCCTGAGTCGAGCATACATCCAGAGCGTTTCTCGTCCAGTCATTTCCTATATTAAATATCCAAATTATGCTTAATTAACTAATTAGTTCAAAGAAACCATTCCTCCAATTTACCTCAATCAGAGAGTCGAACTGGGGACAATATCTGCAGGTTAAAAAGACGTTTCAATTAGTATTATTTAGTTATAATACTTAATACATAGTTTACTTAATACCCCATATTTCGATGAGCTTTTTGGAGACTGGTGCGAATGCAATGACCATATACATAAGCGTCCCCACTGCTGATGGGCAGTTCCCCTGTCAGCATTTGAAATGTGGATGTCTTCCCTGCTCCGTTTGCGCCTTTATGCATGTGAATTCGGTTATTAGCCCTTTATCGACACTTTATCAATGCAATGCATGTAAATTTACCGAGAAGACCAAAGCATTCTCCTTTCTTGACACCCAAACTGATCCTGTCGACGGCAAGTGTGTCATTGCCATATGTTTTCGAAAGATCGCTATTGAGGAGAAACCGAAATATAATTTGAAGCAAATTACCACCAAATTGAAAAGCTTTGGCATTCTTACCGTATTATGAGATTATCAGTGGACGATAGAAACTCTAGGTTTGAATTGTCAATGCGAATCCTCTCATTTTTGACATCTTCGTCTTCTTTCCCAATCATGGGTACCGACCGTTTCACTCCAATGTGTTCTACTTTTCTTTTAAATTTTCCAAATGTGTTAGAAAGTATGCCAGAGTCGATAACCAGCAAAATAGTCCAGCAAATAATTCCAAACACGGTGAGGTACACAAGATTCCTGCCAATTCCAAGTTCCTCCCAGTCTTAACCGTCAAACAAAATTATTATATAGAAAGTATAATAATATATAATAATTTCTATTATAGGGGTGTAATTGGAGCGCCTCCAAGAGGTGCACCCTCAGGCTTTCACCAAATTGGTGAAAGTGCAAAATGGCTCTAGAATCTGAGACGAGGGTGGATTTCGTCTGCACTCTTTACGGAATGCAATTACATAATACTAGTCTCATTAGTGCTCACCTAAATAATCCGGTTTCACTGAAAAATTAAGATCAATTTAATTATTCATTGACAACGCAATAATTAAGCGATCGACTTGAAGTTTGAACCTACATTTGTTGCAACACCAGTTTAAAAATGATTTGCGGTCCGGCTGACTTTCACAGAGGACATCCAAAAACTCGATTTTGCATGCTTGACCAACTTGGTAATTTATTGAAATTTGGGTAATGCCTTTGCCCAACGAGTACGTAGGAACAATCAAAAAAATTCTGTGGAGTGTTGTGGCCAATGAATCTTTGTCCAATTCAGGATGGCTAACAATGTTTCCAACGAATAAAGTTGCATATCCTGAAAATGATGCACATCGTATGTATTATTTCACATTTAAGAACTGTTAAGCTCAAGGTAATACCTGATAACACGTTTAAAACGGCCATCCCCACCAACCCAGAGGACGGAACTCTGAAGAAGAGTGAGCTCAAGTACATCATCGGAAGTACCGCAAATGCATAACAGTAAAACAAAAGTAGCAGATAAAATTGAACAGTAACACTGTAAAAGTCTTGAACTTGAAATCCGATGAGAATTAAATGCAAGGCTAAACATGGGAGAAAGTACAAGACCAAATCCACGAGAAGGTTTGAAATCCAGAAAACAATAAAGTTTACTCCGGATATGAATTGTAAATGCTTGGATCGCATGGCTTGTTCTTTGATGGGAAAAATTGCATATACGGCCACCAAGAAACCTAAGGCTAGTGAAAAATGGAGCCCCACTTGGAATCCAACAGTAAAATACGACCCTAACTCTTCAAAACTTGGACCGTAACCAAATGGATGATTTGTGACTTGGATTTGAGATGAAGAGTTATCTTCCGCAAAAGAGGTTAATATTCCATTTGTGATTAAATTGAGAGCCAGTGGAGGCGTGTGAAGGGGTTGATTGTTGAAAAGGCCGACGAGTTCCGTTTTCTCTGCGGTGGAATTTTCTTCGAGGGCAGCAAAATATTTAAAATTTACGTAAGAAACATCCTTAGTTGCCTTCAAAATAAAAGTATTGATTGGTTATAAAATTACGGACGACATTATATGTACTAAATAAAAGCTAATTTGATATTTAGTTAATCACCATTTTTAAAATGTAATCTTCAGCCGTCGAATTATTTGGAACCTCTTGAACAATGTTATTACGACCCTGCAAATATTTGTTGTACCCTTGACAGACAGGACTATGGCTTGGACAGTGCAGTGTTGTTACTGTTTTCCCAAAATTTTCATAATCCTGAAAAAATATAAAATCATAACCAATTATTGAAATTATGCGAGCAATGTTCATATGCCAAATATTTCGTCAATACGCACCTCAAGGACTACAAGACGAGGTCCCGGATCATACAATCCGGGAACGGTGGTCATAATTAAGAGCACTAATGATGGGTACACGACGCAGATAGCAATCTGGAACAGTAAAGGCACATTTATATTTATTTTCTTATCGCTAAATTGAAATTTAAACCCAGTGGGTTTTATTAAAAAAATAAAAGTACCTGGGCCATAAGAAGTCCGATTTTTCTCCAAGTGAAGATGATTTTTTTGCATATCATGGCCCAAAACTGTTGAACCAAAAGTGTGCGTCCTGTATTATGAGGCATGTCGTTGAATTTGTCTTGACTCTGAGGGTTCATGCTCATTTTTGACCCATTTAAGAAAGTAACGTCCACATTTAATCGCACATCTGATTGCTTTCCATTCGATAAATTGTTGTCTGATTCTTGTTTATCATGAAGTTGTCCAACTCTATAGTGTTCAAAAGTAAAAAAAAATCATTCCACACCTTGACAAGGTTCTATAATTGTTTCTTATGCAAACCTCATAAACACTTCTTCCATTGTCGTGATGGAACAGCCATACGAGTCGATTCCAAGTTCAACCTTCCTGTTCTCCAGCCCTTCAAACACATCGGCAAATAAATGGGACATGTTGTCAGGAAGGGCGTAACTCAGCTCGGCCCCCACGTTTTGTTCTTCTTCAACATCATCCAACTTTGAGCGTAAAATTTCCGTAATTTTTGCCACATTGCACCTGGGATCCTTCACAATTACTAAGTGGTAACCGCAGCCATATTTCTTTTTGAGAAATAGGGACGTTCCATAACATTGGAGCTCTCCTTCAGCCATTATTGCCAATTTATCGCCCAACACATCAGCCTCGTCGAGATAATGCGTTGTGAGAAGGACTGTTCGACCTTTTTTCTCCCTTTGAATTAGATCCCAAATGGACCGACGAGCACCCGCATCAAGTCCCGAGCTGGGCTCTGTAGAGAAATTATTATTAGAAATCTGTACAGGAAGCCAAGGGGCACACATTGTCCTGACTTTACTCTTTCGATTCATATACATTATGTACCATCTAGCAGAATACAAGTCGACCCCCCCACAAATGCAATCCCGACAGAAAGGCGGCGTTTCATGCCCCCACTTAGAGCAGAAGAGACAACATTTTCCTTATCTTCTAGGCCAATCGCTTTTATCATCCGTCTCACTTCTGAATTCACTTGGGATTTGTGGACTCCTTTCAACGGGCACAAGATTAATTAGATACATATTAATTGATATCATAGCTTCAGTTATAGCAAAATTATTTTGTACAATTTACTGGTTTACCTTTTAAAACTGAATAGAATCGAAGATGTTCTTTCACAGTTAGCTCAGAAAATAAAATATTTGATTGAGGACACAATCCTAAACTACGTCTAACAGCTTTCATATCTGTGCAAATGTCAACCCCATCAATCAGAGCAGTTCCGCTTGTGGGAGGAAATATTCCTGTTAAATAAAAATATTTTTAGCCGTTGTTATCTATTGAAAAATAAATTGGCACAATACTAACCAGCAAGTATATGCATGGCTGTTGACTTTCCGGCAGAATTATGGCCGAGTAGTACTACACAAATTGAGAAAAAGTACATTTTAGCTATATGTAGCTTGTCCTAATTTAAAAATTCGGGTATGCAGAGTATTAACACGCACCAAAAATTTCATCCTTATACATGTTTAAGCTCAGGTTTTTAACAGCCACTTTGTCGCCATACTGTTTTGTCAAGCCTTTTATTTCAATTCCTGGTTTTGACTTGGTGGCAATTACTTCAAAGTATTCGCTCTTATTCAATCCACGTTTACTTATTAAATCCAGTTCTTGAAAGGTACTAGCATCAGGACTGCGAAGGTCTCCAGTCCAGTACCATTTCTACCACAAACCAAGAAAAATACATAAGTATCATGATCATACGGTGCTTATCATTAAAGCTAGCTGTTACTAGGATTGCATCCTACCGTGAAGGGAAAGTACCACGGAAGTGCGATGCCTAAGAATGCAAAGAAAAAGACATCCAATTAAATATACCTCTGTATCGTATTGGTTAAATGAAATAAAAAGGATCGCTCATACCATATTCGCCTGGGAAAACTGCTTCAACGTAAATCGTGAGCCCAAAATAGAAGAATCCATTCACAACCATGATCATCATGCAGTCAAAAACGCAGAAAGGGTCATCGGGGGTCGCACCCTCAAAAATAGTGTTCCAGTGGACACCCACCCCTGTCCCTTCAAACATGCATATCAATTGACAGCAGAAACACAGGCCTATATTTGTTCCAAAGCTCCAGCCGATTTTGCCAAGCCGATCAATTTTATTGTATCTGCAACGCCCAATTATATATTTATTTATGCATAATTAATTTTATAAACAACATGGCCACATGGGCGAACAGTATTTCAGTTAATAGGCAAAATTAACTCGGCTCACCTTGGCTGTAAAAATGTAAATGGAATGAAGAAGATGAACCACAAAATCGCTGCTACGATGGCGGCCGAATTAGCTAAAAATATTCAAATCGCATTTTTTTAATAGAATGGACTCCAGTATTACAGAAATATTAATTTTTTTATTCATCTGTAATTTTACCTACCAGTTTTAAACAATGTCGAAACGAAGAATGAGAAGCATACGAGTTGAAAAATGTGCGTCATTAGTGCGGCATAAATCAAGGTAGGGTCACTTTTTGGCAAGACTCCCAGAACTTGTGATTCAGTTGCTCGAATCTGTAACAGTAATTCCGCAAATATGTCACACCTGACACTAAATAGCTTTCTTGCATACTGTGTCAAACCTTGAGAAGGATGGTGATGATTAACGTGCTTATGGCCAAAAATAAAAAATGTTTGGTAAAAAAGCTTGTCCAGTGCAACCAATTAGGCAGTCCCATTGTTTTCATATATTCCTAATTGTCATCATTAATGAAGTATTTTCACATTAAAAACACCTCAAATAAAATTAACTATGAATTTCAAATATTTCACACTTACTTTCAGCCTCGTTTCTTTTTCCACTAAAACCAACTTGGTTATATTGATAGTCGAAAATAAGAACGATAAAATTAAAGTGAGTGGTAATATCCCCTGGAGAATGTATATGAACTTGTCGTTGATATGTGGCGGATATGGGAATCGTTGCAGTTTGATGTCATAAGAGTCCAACAGGGAATCGTTTTTGGACATCAGTTTAACAAGCGTTGTCTCTATTGCATATTGCAAGTAAAGAAATCCTTCCTCGTAATATCCTAAGAAATATTTAAACATGCACAAAATTATTGTAGCACAGATTTTTAAGATTAATGTTAACTACTAAACTGACCTGGGACACCTCCAGTCTTGTCTCCAGGCTGTCTTGGTCCCAATAATTGAACAAGTGGGTACAGTATTTCGGAAAACCAAATCTTCTTTATGCCAAAGCGATCTCCGATCAGGTCAGAACTTGCTCGAGGAATTGCCGGAAACCGTAGTTTGTACTGTACCAAAAATATTACGATGTATGTCAGCGTGCCACTTCAAACATGAATCATTAAAATCCATTTGCACCTGAATATCGGTTGGAAAATTACTTCCATCATCAGGAAAATCATTCGTAAACACAATTCCAGCCAAAATAGGCGACGATTCGGCGTTTTCGCCAAAAAGATCCGGTCCATCAGATTTTACCGTTTCATGTGATCGATTGATATTGCCGATTGTTGGGGACGTGCTGAGCAAATATTTATCTACAAGCTCATTTTCGGTCGCAAACCCCGTAACTGTAACGTAAGACATTAAATTATTAGTATTATGATTATTATTAACACACCAAAAAATCCAAAAAATTATTCTTATTATTACACGTGATTGGAGTGTCGAACTCTGAATTATTAAAGAAGCTGGTGCGAATTCGATCCATAAGCTCGTCAACCACAGAGTTATTTGGAGAGTAAAAGATTTCATTGCTGCAAAACAATTACATTTAAAATTACTAGGCATATAAATATCTGTAAAAGATCTGTCAGATCTGTAAAAGCGTATATGTGCATGTACGCACGTACATATGTACATGGCACATGTGCCAAACAAAGTTTCTTAAAACTTCTTGCAGTTGCAATACGTAGTTTATGCTAATAATAGATTAGGATGGCCATTCGTTTTACATACATAATAACTAACAAAGTATAATTCTCTAATTTATGTACCAGGCCAAATGATTTAAAATAGCAAATGGCCGTGACGCTGCGTAGCTCAAGATCAAGACATGAACCATGACAAAATTGAATGTCACAGGTACTAAATATATTTCTGATCTGTCTCGGGTTTCATGATTTGAAGATGGAGACAAAGCCTACGCTTAGGATTAGACACGGCCTAATCTCCGTCCAACAATGCCAAAGTCGAAGGGCATTGTTAATGACTCAAACTCGCATTGCATTATTTGGTTCAGAATTATTTTAATAATACGTCAAGATAATCTTGAATATTTAAGAATACGTTTCAGGAAAATTCGTTTGTCGTTATGGCCTAAAAATCATATCAAGAAAAACTTGCCAGCAATATTTGGCCGTGTATGAAACTTCGTCAACTCTGAACGCTGGAAATGTCGTCGGTTCCTGTACAACTTTTGACTCAATAATGCATCTCATGACGACCATAAGGATTGTGAACATGATTGGAAGCAATATTTCAAACGAAGTTTGAAGCTTGTGCCGAATCTGGATTTTGTAGTTTTTCCACAGCAGCAGCTTGAACTTATCCCAATTGGACGCATCTTGTGACTGGGATGATGCTGATGATGACCGTGAGCCATTGTTCGTACCATCCTTGTCATTCCTGCGATTAAAATTAAATGAGCAAATAAATTTCTGCAGATTTACAATCAAGCATGGTCAGACTAAAAAGGAAGAGCTGATGGCTGTCTAGAGGGTGTCGAATGGAGTTCACGAGTACATGGCAGAAAATTAACGACTCATTAAACTCGCAATTTGATTGCTTATTTGAGCAAGACAGACTCAATATAATGGTGTTGGAAATAGATTTGCACTTTAGATAGATTAAAAAAACAAGGGAAAAATTCACATTTATTTCACATTTTTTATGCGGGTATTTCTTTCCTCATGCATCAGTTTCCCTTTCATTAAGCAGAGGTTTAATTAATGGTGTAGATACAGACAAGGTAAAAAATTGCAATTAAGGAAGTTCGCCTCAACAGTAAAATAAAATTATTGTGGTAAAATATCAACTAGTGTAAAACTAATGAATTGTATTAGAGATTAAATACGATAAAACATGTAACTTACAAAAATCCTCCGTTCACGTGTCCATGGTCCATAGTCCAACTTTTGGACCTTTGCTTGAAAGGGTTGGGAATCCTTTTAAGTGGCATTTTAATGATTCAAAATAATTGTTTGCGTGTTAGTAATATTAAATAACTTGAGCAAGTTGTGGGTTTCAAGCGCTGGAAATTTATGTTTAATTCGTAGCGAATAAAAAACGGTTGTAGTAATCACAGAGTTACTTATGTATCTTGACTGATGTATTTAAAAACTTTATCACAACTATTGCAAAATTTTGGGAGCAAACTTTTCATGGTACTTAAGATCTTTATACATACGGCAACACTTTCAACTACTTGCTGACCAATGGATAAGGATTCCTTATACTTAATCAGTCTATTGATTCCAAAAGTCCTAACAGTTAATAATTATTGATGCGTAAATATTTACGAAAAAATCTTGAATCTTGTCTTCTCCTAATGATCTAGGTTGATTTGTTCAAAGATGAGTGCAAATGACAACTGGATCAGGTTCCAAGCTCATTGCAAAAGCTGTCCATCTCAGGCAGGAACTTGAGACAAGTCAGAATTGTGAAGTCGTCGTGGTTTGTCCAATTATCAACTGAATGCGTCTTGGAGAAGTGTTGTAGTTCCATTTTAAGCTGACACTGAACATCGCATCCAGTGCCAACCGTTAGCATAATTATTTAGTACCTGTCGGTGAGCAAATAGTTTTTTTCAGCACTCCACACACAAACATGCCACATTCTGGATTTAATTAAATGACCTGACCACTACATACTGCTTCAGTAGTTGCCTAAAGACGATGGAAAATAGGAATTCGCAAATGAAAATAACCCGGAGAACAACAGAGCACTAAACCTCGTCGTTACTATGTTCGTAGAATAATTGCAGAAATCTTACTTGTACATATTTATGTAGATCTCTTAATTAATTGCGTAAGCTCAGAACCACGTTTTACTTTATTTTACCATTCTACAAACTCAGATATGACTCATCTAAATAATTGCGACACACAATAAGTAACAAGTGAATATGAATGTCACTGTTATGCGAATCGTGTCAATTTCACGTTCACGTATGCATGATATATGTAGATAACTAACAATACAAAATGGAAGGCAACATATGACCAAGTCTTACAAACCACTTGGCGAGGTAGTAGATATTTGGCGAATGCACTTAATATGTATATATGTACATACACATGGTATCATATAAGGTTCGTATTATACAAAGGAGGTAATAACTGGTTAACTATTATCAGTCAACAACCAGACTAAAGGAAACGATGAAAAATCCAATGGTAAGGTATTGCAGAAGCATAAGTCGAAAAAAAACTAGAGTTTTATTGTTATAAAGCGGTTTGCACTTGTTGTTTAAGCAGTGAAGTGGTCGCAAATTCTCATGATGCTTCCAACACGAAAGACAAAGTAATTTGTGGTCCAATATGTAACGAATATTTGTTTTGTGCAAACAAATGAGGAAATCAATGTTCATATGTCTGGTAATAAAAATAAAATAGGAATTAGGAAGCTGCTCAAGAATATGTTTTATCAAAACTAAATACATATTGTATATCCTGTACTGTTTTATCCAGAGCAATTTCCTCCACTTCTATTTAATATGAATCTTATTAGTACGTCATTTTATTCCTCATGCATGCATATGTGCATAGATATGAAACTAGTCGTAATTAAAAGCTTGATACCATCAATTAACTGAAATAATAGTGGTGGGAGAAAATTATAAATAATTGATAGTCAGAAGTGGTCATGCGAATTAATTTACATTTGATTGGTTACAGTCAGTATTTTATGCACTCCAAACAACTTGTATGCAGAAATCCAGTGAATTGAATCCACTTCTATTACATACATACATATGTATATAATCGCCAATGGGAAACCCGAGCAAATTATAAAATAGAAAATCCGCAAAAGACCTGAAAAGAAGCACCTGCATTTAATTAATACTTTACCCTATTTTACTTTCGAAGCAAAGTTAACCTTCGTTTGTACCAAATTTCTATAGAAGATTGACATCAGGAACATGTATTTGACATGATTGAGACTTATGAAATACTTCGTGGTGAAAAGCAAGGTTGAATTGGACCTGGTCTTGAATGATAAGATTGGAGGGTAAATAAACACGTCTTCTGTACCTCGTCTTCGGGATTATGACACTCCCACAGATTCTGAGTAAGTGCAAGGAAAGATTAATTGGAATTCTTGGATTTGCTCGCAATTCTGAGCATCATGTACAACTTTGGGAAGCTGAATTGTGAGAATGTGAATTCCTCTCACATTTTATGCACGATAAAAATCAGATGAATATGTTGGACATTTGCTTATGTTTATTTATATATGAATTTAGTAAATGCCTTAAAATATCCAGTATCACAAGATTTACTCTTGTTCGCTTACTGAGCTATTGAAGTTTGTTGTTTAATAAGATGATTATCAATAATGCAAAAACAATGTGGTACATGTGTAATTTTAGAATGTGCATTGTGTGATTTTACGAAAATGAAACCTTATATGCATTGTGAGGAACGTTTATCTAGTTGTATACAAGATTTTACACAAATAAAAGTAAGCAATCCTGACGTTGATAAGTTTCCTAATTTGTGTCGAATTTCAAACCCAGGAACAAAATCCTATTCGTAAAACTTTTCTCTGACATGCAATTCTTAAGCCAAATTGCCTTCGTTCTTATTCCCATTTATTCCTTGTCTATTGTCTTATTCACTTGTAGACTTTGTTCACCTTAATCTCTTCGTCTCAAGTTTGTTTCGCACACGGTTCTACTGTTTCAAAATACAATGCAACACAATGAAGAAGTTAACAACAAAATACAGTCGTGGGTTGGTTTGGTGAGAAATCTAAAGAAGAAAGTTGATCATCGGCTGGAGGGAGAATAAATATGTAGATTCAAAGGAAAATCCGTATTTTGCAGATTTATTCATCAAATCCTTTTCGTGGCTATTTGACAGAATACTGTATTCAATATTTTTTATGCTGATGTTCGAGTAAAAGTATCTATAAGGCTGAAATTAAAGTTTCATTCTATGGAAGATGATAAAAATACTGAGCAGATGAAAATAATGGGATCTGTCATTTAAAAATATTTTGCGACAAACATTAGACTTTAAATATACCAATTTTGTGGACCTGACCTGAGTTAATTACCTGACCACAAGTTTAATAATATATGGACACAATAGTTGCAGTGAAAAGAGACTATATTTTGATATGTACTCATATATTTATACGTACGCGAACGCGTTTGATGACAAAAAAGAGCAATCCCGTCTTCCATGCATTCTTTCTTCGTCCAGAGATAGCCGAAATGATTTGTACCTTTCTTCACTATTATGTTGAATTCTCTCCAGTGCAACAAACCGACAAAAGAGCAAGACCGTGAGAAGAAAAGAGACACGACAGACCGAATAATAGGAAAGGAAAAGATTGTGAAATTTAAGACCACCTGCTCGTTTCCTCAAGATAGTGATCCTAAGAAGGCAGCACGTATTTAGTTATGGTCTCATGTGGCAGGACAATATGTTCACGATTGATGTCAAAATATAATCTTTTTCTTTTTTGGAAAAAGTCTGGCTTGCTTTCTCTTAAGGAAACTATACTACAGTTCAACTACACATAGATACATGTGCAAACTATATTCTTGGGCTCTCTCTTTTGGACCTTCCTCAAATGTCATTTTTGCCGAATTTCTATATTTCCAATAAAAATATCTGATGACGTGGGCAGTAATAAATGAGAAAGAGAAAGTTAAGAGCGATCTCTGTCCGTGAGATCATTTAAAAAGGAGGAATCCAAATTCTGAGAACTTTTGCAGTCGTATTTTTATACAGAACTACATATTGCAACTTATTGCAAAGCATGCTCTCCTGACATATGTGTACAAAATGAAAGAACAAAGAATCCAATTTGTCAAAAAAATCTATAAAAAGCCAACGAACCAACTAATGTCCATTCACCTTCAATTCTATGCCTTTTTCCTCAATATGACCATTGACTTTAAGAGACATGAAACAGGGTATGTAGTATCTGTATTTACGATGCATCTGTTCGAGTTGTAAGTTAGTATGGCTGGCATTTTCCTAAAAATGTAATATAGCTCAAATTGGAGATTAGAAACCTGATCATGATTTGGAGCTCATCTTAACTGCAATTTTCGTGGTGGGCGTACAATGAGTCTAGGAGATAAATACATATGGCGTCGTAGTCAATCAAGTAGAAATAAAGTCGACAATTTCTCCATCTGGTATTTATTCACATCCATAATACTCCAATTTATTTCAGAATCAAAGGTTTAAACTTGAGAGTAAAAGTTACATGCACAATATATTCGTTTTTCGGGATAAGATTAATGTTACACAAATATATTTGCACCGGGTTAGATAAATATTATTCACTATGTATTTATAGGTTGCTAAATAGATTGCTTTATTCAGAACGTGGTGAATAGAATATGTGTGTGGAAGTAATGATATATATTTAGTAGCACGTAAGTATAGAGATTGGTAAAGAACGGATTGAATAAATATTATGTTATCTCGCATGCCCTTCTCACTACACATTTTTCTCAGAAAAATACTTTCATACTTGTAATAATGAGTAAAACTTGTACAGAAATCCTGTACCATAGACTAATAAATATATGGATATCAGCATAATTTACATATTAAATATCTTATTAATCTCATGAATTCAATCCAACTATTCCTTCTTTGCACAACTTTTCTACCACAATGTTCATCACACAATTTCCTCAGATCAGATTCAGATACCTTTTGACTTGGGGAAGAAGACAGTCGTACCTTATAAGTATTCTACTCCGTCTTCTGCCTACACAAAACTTTCACAAAGAAAGAAGTCAGGATTTTCATCCCAACTTTTACACACACAGGGAATCATCCAAAGTCCTTTCTATCTACGTTGGAAAACTTTCACAAAAAAAAGTTTGATGAAATTATATTTTACAAATATTTGAGGGTTTATCAGTTGTCGGTCGCCCAATATTTTGAAAAACAATTTATATGTGTGTTATTTATAGAATAATAAGTACGCAGTCAACCAGATAGACTAACTCATGTCAAAGTCTTTCAAAATTTTGATATATCAACCGCAGTTTTCCACTTTACATAAATATACTTCCATGCAACTAATCAACGACAGAAAAACTCTAGCCGAACAATTGTCAAAATACTCAGAAATTTACATCCATCTTTATAGATTGAAGACTTAAGAACGAAATAAACTATGGATGATTTGCATAATGATGTTACGAAAGAACCCGCAAAATGTGTTTTGGCGTTCATGCGGAAGTCCTCCATTTCCCGCACTGCCGCCGCCTCCGCCACCTCCGATGGAGGAATCCTCATCTTCTTCGTTAATGGTGGCAACGCTTTCTCGATGATTCGATTGGGAGCCGAAACTAAATCTCCTGTCATTTCTTTCGCTCGAGTTTTTTAAATTGGTTGTTGCAGAGCTAAAAAGGTTGATGATTGTCTCGGTAGGTTTATTGTTCCAGAAATCAATTCCACCCAAGAAAGAGGACGACGATTCTGACTTGAACTTTCCAAAATTCTTCACGTTTTGGGGCGTTTGATTGTCATAATTCTCAATGTCCAATTGCTCCTCCTCGACGATGACTTCCTCGTCTCCGTACAGCTCCGAAGTCATACTGGTTTTTATAAACGAGCCCACGATGACTTCTTCTTGTTGTTCGTGAGGATTACAGTAAAAGTTGGGCTCGCCACCTCCTCCGGCTCCTCCACTTTGAGAAGTGAAGGAACTGTTTCTGCGACCTTGGGGTGGAAATCCTCTGGAAGAAGTAGGGGGAAACACTGAAGCAATCGATTCTCGACGGCGAGATATCATCTCAGGGTCGATAGGTCCTCCACCTGAAGAGTGGTGAAAGGGAAGGACAGAGTATGCTGACGCTGATCGGGGCCTAAAGCAAAATAATTGCCTTTTAAACAAACAACAATTTATCCAATGTAGAGTGACATATCTAAAACGGGCAGAAATGCTGGCTGTGATGCCTAAGACATGTGTGTTTATTACATAACCAGTCTCAAAATCCAGAGAATGAATGCATCGTAATTCTTAGAAAGTAATTTAGAAGTCTAGTGATAAAGTTAGAATATTAGCAAACTAATAAAATTTCTGTGCATGTATATTTAAGACGCAAACGGTAAATTAAAATCATAGCTTATTTTCATTATGCATGCGTCTATGGAACTCTGTTCAATTTGAAGCCTTTCAGAATTTGCAAACGGTTATGTACCTATTTTCCTTCCTACTGATCCAGACGTGTGATTTCATTCAGAGGGGACAATGATTTCTAATCTATAATTTTATGCAATACAGACGTATTCGCCGTCCTTGACTTTGTTAACAAATACCTATACACAGTCAATGCATTCATAATAAGGCATATAATAAGGCAGCTTTAGCCATTAAAACTTGGAATTGAAAGCTTATATATTGTGATTCTGCAAGCCAGGTTAACATTTATTTGTGTACGTGTAGAAATTTTATAATGTGCTTTGGATTTTCACTTTCAATGCCGATCTACAATATCTTTGTATATCTGACGTTCAATCTTCTACCTCACAAGGGAACCTTAAGTACTGTCACATCTCGATTTCCTTTCGGATCGTCTTAATTGATAGATAATTTAGTATAAATAAAACTTTGTCATAGAACATACAGTGCAAAATCACGTTTTTTCAAAATATTTGGCGAAAGCTGCACTAAAACGTGCCATTTTTCCAATGCTTTTAACATAGAAAACAGCCTTCGGAATGAAGTTTATAAATTATATACTGTCCATAATTTCATGCTGCTCACCAATATGCAAAAATGCAAACATTGGCCAATTTTTTTTCAAATTGCGAAAATCTGCAAAATTTTCTAAATTTTAATTCCTTCGTTTTTTTGAAATTTTAACCTAATTTAAATGTTAAACTTCTTTTATTTAAGCATTGCAAAAAAGTTTTCAAAGAATAATTTTTTTCTTGTTGCTACAAAATTTCCGAAAATTTTCCAAAATTGAAGCTCATACTTTTTCATGAAAAAAGATATAATGACTAATGCCAGTTTGTTTTACGTATTTTTCAAAATTGTTGGTTATATTTGTTTTTGCAAGTTGTAATAAATTTTGAGAGTTTATGCCGTCAGCTTTTAACATATTCAACAAAATAACTTTTCCATGCCTCGTTCAAGATTTTAAGCTTTTTGAAAAACTTGAAAGAATTCATCTGGGAGGAACCCTTCTAGGTCCCTCCACTATGAAGTATAAATATAGGACAGCAATGCTGTCACAGCATGAATATAGGACGTCCTATATTCATGCTGTCCTGACGGCATAAACTCTCAAAATTTATTACAACTTGCAAAAACAAATATAACCAACAATTTTGAAAAATACGTAAAACAAACTGGCATTAGTCATTATATCTTTTTTCATGAAAAAGTATGAGCTTCAATTTTGGAAAATTTTCGGAAATTTTGTAGCAACAAGAAAAAAATTATTCTTTGAAAACTTTTTTGCAATGCTTAAATAAAAGAAGTTTAACATTTAAATTAGGTTAAAATTTCAAAAAAACGAAGGAATTAAAATTTAGAAAATTTTGCAGATTTTCGCAATTTGAAAAAAAATTGGCCAATGTTTGCATTTTTGCATATTGGTGAGCAGCATGAAATTATGGACAGTATATAATTTATAAACTTCATTCCGAAGGCTGTTTTCTATGTTAAAAGCATTGGAAAAATGGCACGTTTTAGTGCAGCTTTCGCCAAATATTTTGAAAAAACGTGATTTTGCACTGTATGTTCTATGACAAAGTTTTATTTATACTAAATTATCTATCAATTAAGACGATCCGAAAGGAAATCGAGATGTGACAGTACTTAAGGCTCCCTTGTCAGAGATTAAAACAGCTTTCAGCATAAAGTAGTGTATGTATGCACTATATGCACAAGGTAGAATATGTATCTATTTAAATATACAGCAGCAGAGAAATGCTTTTACTTTGAAAAGCTTATGGAGTTCTAATGGAGGATTTATTAGCAATAAGTAAACTTTTTGTGACAGCGTGAAAGTAATAAAAAGACATCTTCACAAGATTTATGAAGACGTAAGAGTGAGAAAAAGAGCAGCACGTGAATTTATAAGTATAATCCACTAGACCAAGTATCCAGACTACCCGTGAGTGCTAGGTCTTATTGTATAAATCATGTAATAGCCGATTTTACGAAGGTCTACACAATTCCCTGAATGCCATAAACTATTTCAAAAGATTTTCAAAAATGAGGTGAAACTTCAAAATCTTTCTATTCAGAGTCGTCATTTAACTCACATCTACAGATTAAACTGCAAGATTGAAAGAAATAAATTGTACAGATAAAATTTTGCAAAGAGTTCAAATCCTCTTAATACACTTCACGTCGTTCATACATACAAAAGTATTTTCCATCCTCCAGACATACGCTCACCTCACCTTTGTGATGTGCATGCGAGAAATTTGCGACAGAATTTTCAATCACTTTGAACTAATAATTCTCTCAGTTCGCCCATTCGCTCGGAAAGGTGCGTCGAATAGGAATTGGGCAGAACTGTGTAATTTGGGTTCGGAATATCTCCAAGATTGAAAAGGATGATGTTTGCCTGCCTTCAGAAGAAGATCGTCTCCTGGCTTCTGATCGTTATTAAAGAATAAATGAAAACAAATAAGTCTTGTTTTGACTTATCCACATACTTTGGCGATATTGAGCAGAAAAAATGGCGGTATTGGAAATACATCAGCTTTATATGGACATACGTTTAGAAATTGAAATGTTTTGTCCTCTTCCGATCTAATCTCATTATTTGTTGCATCGGGTTTTAAAGCAAAGTGGTGGCTTTTTAATAAATCCGTAAGGGATGGAGGCTCCCAAAAGTTTTCTCTTCTCCAACAAATTCCAATGTTTACACACTTTTGACTTTTTTTCAAGAGCCACTGCGGTGTGGGAGACCGACTCAGATAAAAAGTGGATGGATGATGGAGAGACATTTTTGAATAATGAGGTTTCTCAAAGGCAGTGGCAACCACCGTCTTCCGTTTTCCTACCTGATGCTTTCTCCCAACTCTTTTGTGGAGGATTTTTCCTCCCGCTTACCTTGAGTTTGAAGTGCTTTCAGTTCTAATAGAAGGGAAATGGAAGTTAGATTGAACGCGGTTGAGGAGGTAATAGCTGATAAAAAGTGCTGCTTATAAATGAGCCACAAATTTAGTGAAAGGAGGGACGCACTTCACTTAAACAAGATTAGATAAGAGCTTAACGTCAACTTGGGAATGACTATGGAAAAGTGAGATTATGACGAAGCATGCACTTTTATGTATGTAGGTTGACTACGGTTGAAAAGGGGTCGACTTATTGTAAAGGGAAAGCGTTCTTTACTGGCGACTCTACCTCAAGGTGATGGAAATCGTTTAAAACTTTAAATTACGGCAGTTTTCGTCTTCTTTTTTTGCTAGATTTAGTGATAATCTACACAAATGGAGACGTGGAGGAAGTGAGTCAACTTTTAGAGTAGTTAGATATACTTGAGTATATATGCATTATGAAACTACACATGCATACATATGCAGGAGCATATTGGTGTCATATTTGGCTTGGGTAGCTTCTATGGTATGAAATTTAATGGAGCAATTTGCCAAATTCCCTACGTCCCAAATGTGCTTACGGAAGCCAAACAGCAAACTCCCTGGATGTGCGACTCATCTGAGGAGAGAGACAGTTGCTCGTGCATGGCACATATTCCGAGAAAAGGAACAGGTTGATGCACGCTTATCAAGTATGATAAGGTCAAAACCGTTACCAGGCCGAGGCACGCCGTGCACTACAAGTTCTCTTTATACAAATTTTAGTCAATATATTATGTAAAAAAATACATTATTATTGTACGTAAAAGTTTGATCGTGACTACACTTTCTTGCTGCGCATTATTACAATGTATGTACATATAAACTTGAGACAAAATTATGCATGAGAGTGTGTCAATTTGATGAGCGACACATTTCTCAAAATGAAGTGCCACAAGAACAAAATGGATTACTAGACATTAACAGAAATGGGTTTGTCTCTAGTTTTGCAATGAACTAAAAAAAAGTACAAAGTTGTTCTCGCTTTTGACTTTAACTATCACATTTAATATTTTTTCTTCACCTGTTAGTCGGAGTTCCCAAAGTTTGTCCTCCTAAACTAGTTGGTTGTCCCAGTAATTGGTCATTCGTCTCGGATAATGTGCAAAAAGTGGCTCTTCGTCTCTGTCCTTTATTATCCCCATTCTTGAGATGGTTTTCTATCGCCAATCCAAGGATGGAGGCGTCCAAAAAGTAGCCCGTGTTATTGTCCCATGGTATTCCCGTCTGAATTGAAAACCCAGAGGAGAAAAAAATGAGTTTGACTTTGACATTTGCTTTCTGACATCTCACGTTGGATTCCACCCTTCCTCCGTTAGTTGGCAGATAGGATAAAAACGGGAAAAGACAGGAAGAAGGTGGAGAAAGCTAGTTTCTAGATTTCTCTCTGGATTGAACAGAGATTCGCCATCATATAACGTAGCTCTGGCACAGCCATTTCCTCGAAAAGAATTGACATAAATTCTCTCACAGCAAAGTTGATCTTGCCAACTTGGGACTGATTTTTACGATGTTTGTTTTCATATAAGTACGTAACCACCTTAAAGATATAACCTCAATCTATATTTAACAAGAAATGGTGTGGGACGTAGTAACAATAGTGTAAGGAAACTATTGGCTCCTTTATACTCTACATGATCATATTCAACAAGAGTAAAAAGAAATGGTCACAACAACGCAGTCCAGAAAATGGGTAGAAAATAAGGTAATTTTCCACCATTTCGTCATCATGCAACTCTTTACCTATATATTTTGTTTTGTGTAACTTTAGGATTTCGTTAGAAAATTGGGTCCTCACCTTTCCATCGCCACCACCACTCCCACGCCTTTGCTCCTCAGCCGCCTCATTTGCTGGAGACCTGTCCTGAGACGATGGGACTCGAGGAGAACTAATTGGCGTTGGTGATAATGTCGTGATCGTTGGACCACACCCACTCGGGTCGAGCAGCACCGTGGTCGCCACCGGTGTGGTGGGTGGAGCATGTGTCGACGTCGAGGTGGACGTTGAACAGCCCTCAATGTCCGTCTCGATGGGTGGGGACACGCCGCCACCACCACCGCCGGCAACTCCAGCTTTGATACGATTGAGTAAGCCCGTGAGTAAATTGGAATTGGATTTCTCTCCGGGAGACTTTTTGGCAACGGTATCGTCAAAAGAAAGAGACCGCTGGTGATTTGCATAGTTATTATTTCCTGTGAAACAAAACCAGTCATAAAATCAAAATGAAATTGTGTCTGCCCAACCAAGGTCTCGATTGGCTTTCACAGACGCACAAATTATATCATGATTCTAAAGAACTAATCACGAGATGAGATAGAAAGTCAATGTCAAGTTCGACAGCAGACCTACGACGACAGCAAGCACAACAATCAGAGCTAATGGTTTGGTGTAATCTTTGTTCGTGGGATATACCTACGTAAGTAGTTAGTTACATAGTTTCTTTTTCGTACTGCATTTGACATTCATCTATTTCTGGAGGATAGTGAGCGAGAAAAGTATCACAACAACAGTTCGTGTGTGTTCTGACAATAAAGTGATCAGGTAGAAAAAGATTGCTTTTGTTGCTGCAAGTACAACATTGAAGTATTGCAGGAGTGGTGGAGAAAGCAGGGAGAGGAGACGATGAGCCTGGTTCGGAAGAATAGAGAGGCAGATAGTTTGTTGTTGTTTCTTTCGGGCACCTATTTCCTTTCCTTCGCATTGTAAAACTGTTTGCAACTTTGGGTCCCAAATCATTATTTTGATTATGTACAAGTGAGCTTGGGAACTATTTCTACTTTCTATTAGTTTTTATCGTGTTTCTATCACGTATTCATATTTTAGCAGGTCTTGTGCTTTGAGCACAGATAATTGGAATTCTTAGAAGTTGATTGATGTCATTCAATGACGTATTTACTGTGGAGTGTGGTTTGTTTACCAAAACATGTTTTGACTGATAACACAATTATTGCCGGTGCTACAGTTTCCAGTTCTACTAGACCGAAATAAATCTCACCTTAAAAAAACAGCTCTTATGCAAAATTGCATACCTATTACCTTGTTAGCAGCTAATAGAATTATGTGCATGGTAAATGTCAACGTAAAACGTTTCAAGTAGATATTTATATGTAACCAAAAACATGGAGGCATGTTGCTTTCACTCGAATAAAGCGTACTTATTTTTGGCAGCGTTAATTTACTTTAGGAAATTTCGCTAAAAGTATATTACCACTTGGTAACATTGTTAATTTCACTCGCTTAGTGGAATAAACTATCTATTTCGGAGTGTTCCTTCCTAACTTGAGGATTAGGAGGCTGACTTGAGAGAAGACGTAAATTTTACGCTGCGGGTTAGACTTTAATTTAACCAAGACTTTTGAATATTCATGAAATCTATCCTTGCTTCCTCTAAATTACAGAATTTCCCTCTGGCAAACAGGTAAAATTTTAGTGGGATAGTATTTTGTCATGTTACAATATGTCAGGCATGGGGATTAATTATACGTTTACCTGACAAGCTAGTTTCTGCTACCTGGTGTTTGTTTGCGTTCCAGGATTTGTCTGAAGATTTGGGATTTTGACATTAGCGTAACGTATCTCATTTCAGTTCCGTTTTCCTTATACATAAATTTAGCCATCTCCCGAACGCATCAGGTGAAAGTTATGCGCGTGGCGTGGATGGCTTTTTATAAATTCTGTCAATGGATTTACTAGAATTTGTGCAGTAATCCTTTCCCAGATTACGGATTTGGTAGATTTGCTGGTGCGTGTGTATAAAACATGTCCTTTCAGTTTCACTTATAATGTGTAAAAGTAGCAGTAAATAATCAGTTTTCCGTTGTTTATACCTATTTTAACCATGCAGTATTGTAATCGGAAAGAGAACCCGACACAAAAACAAACATCATAAAAACACTACTATCTCCTCAACTAGACCTTGATGTTGATTTATTTTCGGATTATTTTGTTGTTTTTGAAGGGCAACAATTAATGGACGCACGAAACCACTGACAGCGAGACGGCTGAATATGTGTGCACACAACTGTATAAATGTCTATTCTTTCCCTTTGATTAATTTCTTTTCATCTTTTCATTTCATTGCGAAACTGTAGCATTTATGCAAGTGTTTACATGTTTAAAACGCAATTTCATCCTAAATATAGATATTCTAGTTTGAAATTATTTTACGCCGTTTATTATCGTACAGCGTATACGGAAGAATTTTAACATGAGACAGATTATCTCGAGAAGATGGATACAATATAAAATTAAGGGGACAGCTGACACATATTTCAAACCGGAATGCCGATGGAGCATGGAAAAATGATTGAGTTAGCTCGTTTGAACCCACCAACAATCGAATGGTCGAAACTTTGTCATAAAACCAAGTTGAATTTTAGCATCGGCAAGCGAAACCAAATTCCAGGGCTATCAAAATGTGAAGTGATGTCAAAGTTTGTAGCATTTCGGCAGATTTCTTTTTCCACTCACGTATTGCGTTCCCTCGTGATTTGGTCTGTCCTCTTGTCACGTTCGCCGTTAAAAGTACGTACGTCTGTACATATGTATGTATGCACTAACTAATAAGTACCAAGAATATAATGTCAAATGCGCTAGTTGCCTTCTGTCTTTGACATAAAGACATTTTTACAATATTCCAAAAACGCGAGAGTTTTCCTTCCTTCAAAAAAGCTAATGGGCTGCTTCATCCCGACAGACAATTGTGTCAGTTAGACAACTTTTACATAAGGCGATTACTCACTCTCGCAGCTATACTTTGTCCTAATAATTTCATACATAAATAATTAAGCGAACCCGGCATTTACGTACTCAAATACGTTTGTAGGATAGGTAATTTAATTAATAAACATATGCATACTACCTAATAATCCTAATGCATGTGTACAACTGACGCTGCCTTATATGCAAAATCCAGCAAATTGTCATAACATACAAACGCCGAGGAAAAATCCCAGTTCAATAATAATGAGGATCGTTACTCAGATAAACAGACAGCCCACAGACTAGAGCCGGATGGATGTTATGTGGAAAGAATGATAATGGTTTTCGCAGGGAAAAGAATGGAGCCTTGTGTGCAGGACGGTCGGACGAGAAGGGATGAACGATCCAAGTAAGAAAGAAAATCAATATTTGCATTTATAAGAATTCCAATTCCGATTACTGAAGCAAGTCAAGTGGATTTAAGTGGAAATGGGGATGAGGAAATGGAAGGATGAAATCCTGTATTGTGTTTCAAAATTAATGATCGAATGAGTAACTTTCACTTACGAATGGATTGAAACCTGCCGTGGAAAATGATGGATATTACTCCAATAAAGAACTAATGGTTAAAAATATCACTCCATACAAATACTAGGTATGAATTTATGTACTCCGGTGTGTGTGAAGTAATCGCTTGGTCTTGGGGGAATTTATGTAATAAATGAAAGCTTCGAAACTGTGCATTCATAAGTATACCAAATAATTAACTTTGACTAGTCAAAACAAGGGATGCATACGTAATGTCTATATTGATGTGCTGCTGTTGAGGCATACCTGACATAAATACTTCAATTATTAAGCAGGAAAATTGGGCACGTAACAAATTATTCAGCACAAATTAAGTGCATAGTAGTACTTATTTTTGGACGTGACGGGATTATCTATGAAGAATACAACTGTTTGCTGAATTTGAAAGTTTCTGACGTTTCGCTCAACATGAAATATCTAAATTCAGCTTTTACTTAAAAAGGATTTATTCAGGAATAATAACCCTCAAGGACTCGTGGATTATCCTTTACCATTCTTAGGTGAAAGTAATATGTAAGCAACAGGAAATAAATCTGCAATGATTTTTTCGGGTGGTTTGCTGTTGACGGATGAGCCAACAACTTGTTTCCGCATCACACCACCAACAAACTAACCATTAACGTCATGATGACAACAAAATGTTTATGTCTTTCGCAAGTAAACAGTGACAAGATGGATGGATGGCGACGACTTTATATTTTCATGTTCTGGAAACTTCAGCCATATTTATGTACGTGATGGATGGACGGATTGATGAATGGGAAATCAACTCAACTTTCCAGTCAGCAGAGATATACGTATTTATCATATAGAAAGTCCAACAGAATTTCGAAACATTTCATCCCTTTCAATCCTAACGAAATGTATTTAGATGATCCGACTCACTCGATCTCATTCAATTCCAATATTCAATCTGAAATACCAAACCTTATTTTACTTATTTATTACTTTATGACTCACTGAATTCCTCGCAGCAGCTTGAGAAAGAAATCAACATCATTCTGAGCGGAATGCATCCGCAACATTTCTTCCGCTTCGCAATTCATTTCGAAATTCACTCAGGCAAGCAAATACTGCACTGCTTTCACCACAAGAAGCATAAAGCTACGTAAACTCAGGCAGTCAATAATAAGTATACAGATTCTCTACGTATGTATAGCGCATAAACCATAGCGTCCATAACCGCAAGGGCAGACGATCTATAGTTGGTTGACGTTGCTACATATCCTTCCCCCAGACGGGAAGCAGCAAGAAGGTTTCACTCCTTCAGGCAAAGTTGTTATTTCGCGAAATGCGGCCAATGTTGGTCCGAATTTTCGCCAACCTACATTTCTAAATCTACTTTCACAGCAACTGTATTAAAAATGATTCAGGAGAAATGCGATTTTTCACTCTTCCCTAAATTGAATTCTGTATCTTATAAAATGTAAAAAGTTGTCAAGAAATTCAAATTATTTCCAGCCACTCTCTTTCTTACAACTAACTACACAGGATGGAAAGTTGTCTGGAATGAGATGTGAGAAATTGGTGCTGATGAAACTTTTTTTGCACAAGTATATCCCGGAATTTCTAGAGCATATTGCCTGGTTCGTGCTCTATCTTGAGGGAAATAAGTCCCGTGCATGGATCACTGGAGCAGATGAGCTTAGTCGCATTATTAGACACGACACGGTACAAATAAAAGTAATGAATTAAAGTTCTCGGAAGAAGACGATAGACGTAGATGAGCAGAAGAGGAAAAAAACTACGTTCTGTTGTTTACTACTAACGAATGTTGTTGGCCTGAATTTTATCTTATTAGACTTTTCTGTTTCTGCTACAAAGTACTACAAACCAAGAGAGTTACTTGGGAGGGAGGGAGCAGTCGTGTCCTTGAATTTCGCCGTCCCATGAGAACGAGGTATGCAAAAACTTTTTTCGTGTTTTTTTAATGAGGGAAAATTCCAAGGCATGAGTACGAAAATTCTCAGATAATGTGAAACGAGAGTTATTGAGAGTTTCATCAACCAGCAACGTCCATGAAATTCCAATAGCATGGTAATCCTCCTTCGTCCGCTTGCTGGGTGCATAAATATATGCAGGATTGATGGACTACATTATTTGTGCCACTGTCACACATTGATTTTCTCCAGCATAATTTTCTCGTCGAGAATTTGGATTTAGAGCAACTCGAAGCAGAAATTGGAAATACTGCCCGTTAGTCAAAGGATGTTGTTTTGTAATGAAGCAATGAAGATGGTGATGTGTGATAAGCTCACATCAACGAGGATGAGCTGAGGGGTTGACATGGACCAGCGAAGAGCGGATTACAGGAGAAAGTTTGTACATATATCGAGTGGGTGAGCATTATACACGCTGGGCAACTTCTTTATGGATTAAATAAATACCTAAAAATATCTCTGCGAGGGGAAGACAGGGTCTTGCAATTAATGATACGGGATAATTAATATTTCCTGCTAATGCTGTCTACCACCGGACGTTAATCATTAAATCAATGAATGTCAGGAACTAATTTAGTTTGCTCAAATGGTAGTGCTTAGATTTGGGCAATAAGACTCAGTTTTGATATACATCCACCTAAAGTTATGATACATATCACCAAAAATATCATGACATCACGGATGATGTTAACCTTAATAAATGGTTAAAAATACTAAGTAAATTACCCGTCGTCGTAGTTGATGCGTGAAACATAGATCCCCGTCTCGCCGCTGTCCCCAAATCTGGTCCAAATTCATGGCTCTGTAATGCTCGCATTTCCATTGCACTCCGGCTGAGACACTTGAGATTCATCAGTTCCCCAGTGCTGCAAACAATCTCGTCCCCACCCGACGGGTTGGGCATGATGGGTGAGTATGAATTTGCCCTGCGACGATTCATCCCCGCAGCGACCCCACCGGTTTCGCCGTCTTCGTTGTTTTCATCCTCTGAAATCACGATTGTCGGTTTGGCCAACAGAATCTGATGGCTGTCCGAGTACCTTCGACCACAGAAGCCTGGAAACAGGAGGGCAGGTGCGACAGTGGGGGTTGGTGTTCTGGGCTTGGTGGTGATATTGTTATTATTTGAATTGTTGGCATCATTCACAACTGCGATTCCGCTGTTGTCCGTGCTAATTTTGAGTCGCACCTTTCGCCCTCCACCCAAACATCATAAATCCAAGTCAGGTCTGTTCTGGTTATTGTTGGCGGATGTTGACGCTGCAGGTTGCGGGACGAAGGAAGAGTTTCTTCGTCGCTGATGTTGAAGGGATGATGCATTGCTTTCAAAACCCAGCCCTATCGGCGAGGGTCCCATTGACGGGAGGGCTATGCAAGGAGAAGACATTTTTCTTCCTTGCGTCGTCGTGGGGGCGTTGAGAGACTGCTTAAAGTCTCGGACCAGATCAATGTCAGGTTTGTTGGGTTTGTATAACAACGTCAGACCGGAAGGTCGACGATGATAGTTTTGTGGATTGAAGTCGGATGTCGACCCAGTGGCCGGAATCGGTGCATTGGAGGTGGAAGCCCGTCTTTGGGCGAGATTGTTGGGTGTCGGACCCAAAGAGAGGCGACGGGTGGAAGGGTGTGCAATTTGATGTGGATGATGCATTTGGTGTGGGTGGAATTTTGTTTCGAAACGCTCCATTCTTCTTCTTGTCTTTCGTTATTAGATTCTTGGAAGGGGTTTCGGATAGAACATCACTTGTGAACTGACGTAGCCTGGTAAATGTCAGAAGCAGCAACAAACAACGTACGTCCGTTGAGCCAAACAGCTTCCGGTCAGCCTTATGGAAGGAAATCAATGTCAACCACCCACACTGTGTGGATGTATGTTCCAAATTGGGATTGTAAAACAGTGTTATGTTTGCTCTTGGCTTGGTGTTTGTTATTTGTTCAAGTTAAGTATTATTCACACAGTGAGATAACTACAAGTCCTGGGCTCGAGGGGCTTGTATAATAATAAGTGTGCAATTTTGAGAGTGGGTTCACGAGAGCGACGAGAAAGTCGACTTTCTCTCAGCACCAGAAGTCACCAAGTTTGGACTAATGGCAGCCCTGCGTTCAATGAAGGAATATAGTTCTTGGTTTAATTGAAGAATTTTATATATCAACCAACGTGCAGGCTGCTGGCTGGTTGAAGTCAAATGAGGTTCACCGGAATTAGTGTCAGTTATTATTATGCAGCAGCTGAAGCCATGTGATACATGCAACACTATTTATTGCCATTAGAGCCTGGACGATACTTTTCTTTCTTACTTGACTGTTGACTTACTCAGGTTTGGCTGGGTTTACTCCTGTCCTCTTATACAAAGGAAAAACAGTGCGTGGTGGCAGAGTCCTGGAACAAAAGATTTGTTTGCTCTGGAGCAAGAACGAGAGGAAATTGGGGCTTTAAGCCGAAAATTCAGTCTTGATTCCTGGATTGTGGAAAATCCTCTTTTATTTTTATTATGACCCAAAACAGGCTTCAGGCTGTGAGACGTTGTACAAGTGGGCAAAGTTTGTTTGGATGTGGAACGTGTAAAACAACACTGACTCGGAGGAGGATGGTAAAAAGTAACAACAAGTGTCTGTCCGCAGACTAAGAGAACTGACTTTCACTCACGTCCCAGCGTACGTACGTCGTCAACCAGCACTACTCCAACTTTTGAATTGGAGGCTTTCTGCCTCTGCAACTACTGCTCCCTTTTCCTTCACTGGAAAGAAGGGAGAAAAGATTGATGGAGAAATAAGAAAGCGGGGATTACTCCATTTAGCCGTTTGGATTGTGTGGATGGATGGATTGGTGTTGATGCTGGCTGGGTGGATGGATAGCTGGGTGAAAGCAAAGTGAACAAATATCAAGTCCACCCAGAAGAAGACCAAGTACGCGAGGAGATTGTCCTTTTTCCTGCTTTTCGTCCTTGAAGTCTCTCTCTTTCAGACTGACCAAATCTGGAAAAGAGTGGACACTAATTATGGGAATGTGCCATAAACTTGAATAGTCGCTACATTAGCAAGGCAGTAGAGATTTGGCTACGTAATAACAACAGTCTGAAATGGATAGATAAGCACATAACATAATAAGAACTTTGCTAAGTGCGTACTACTAATTCCGCCCACATTCTAATGCCGTTCTATTAATATACCTTTTATTACTCAGTATTTGGCACAACGCATAACCAACCAAGCTAAATTCGTTAGGTTCTCCGCATGAATATTATGACAAGCATGACAGAAAAAATTTCAACTTACTTTGGAGAAAGCTTTGCGCGTCGGTTCCGTTCAAGAAATTGACGATTTTATTCCATTAAAGTGAGAAAACTGAGAGCGAGTGAGTGAGAGAGAAAGACGGCGTTCTGCTGAAGGGTGCCCGGATGGATGTCTATTGCCTGCGTGGATTTAGCAAGAGAACTGAAGGCTGGGATAACCAAGTACGTGGTTTTCACCCAACCAACCAAGTTAGCGAGCAGAGTAGAAAGTTGACTGATACTGGGAAAAGTGAAAGTGAAAGAAGGAGGCCGATCCTTAACTTGCTCCTTCCATCTCCATTTGCACAACAATTGTCAAATGTCCACAAGTGCTTTCTCCCCTCTGCTGCCTCCGCCTAGACTTCATTGTGTGCAGAGTGTGATGTGGTTTACTGTTTGGTGGCTGCGACTTTGCTTCTTGGTTGGCTCGCCTAAAACACGACACGTTGAGGAAAGGTCTGCCACCAAGGGACCTTCTCACACAAACGGTGGCTTGCTGGTCGGTCCCACCTTCACGAAAGCACGTAAATTGCAACGACTTACGTAGGAAACATGAAAGCTCTTCAAATCATGAAACCGAAATAAAGCAGGACGAGATTTCACTTTGATTTCAAGAAGCTTTTATTTTTATGCAGTTGACTCAACGTTTGACACAATGAATCTTAGGTTTCCGTAACTTAAACCAGTAAAAGCGTTAAATTGCTATTGTGAAGAATAGATTCGTGAAAATCGTTAACATGGGAAATTGAAACCCGTTTCTCTTCTTATTATTTCCGATGATGGCGCAATTTGGATTTAAGTCAGGCATTATATTATATGGAATTTTTTCGCCGAAAGGTACCGTTCTAATATTGTTTGTCTTTCTATTTCTGGCGATGTGACTCACATCATGTGGGTAGCCAAATGTACGAAACGTAGTGGAAAAATAGCATTTCGTCTGAAGGAATTTACCTTAAGGAATGCTTGTGGTGGTTGGCTTTTCTCTCATATTTCCCTGCGTACTTCACTCTCCTTCCGGAAATCTCTTGGGAATGCGAGGCTTAAGATTTCAGTTGTTTGAAATTTTAATGGACTTCATCTTGTCTATACGGTTTATAATCCGTTCGTAAAAATCATTGTGGTATTGTTTTTGTGTGCTCTCTGTAAGATTCCACCTACTTAAGTATTTTTTATTGATGGTTTGGACGGATAGAGTGGTACCCTTCGTTGCTTGATTGACAGAGCTTTAAATTATCTAGGAGCTCTTTAAAATGTGTGATTGCAAAGATAATTGCCTGCTCCTGGAGGTTCTCGCAAATCGTGCGGGCTGACTGAGACGTGTGTAAATACATATGCAAGTATTTTATTCTGGGCAATAATGTTATGTTTTGGCACACTACGTTCTATTCGGTACATGGACGCTGGTACATACATACATACATAAGAACAGGTACATGGACGCTGACTTGAAGCAATACGAAAAGTTTCAGTCTTCGTGAAATGAATTCAGATGAATATAAAAGTGTATCACGAGCGAGTTCTATTGAGTTTCTCATTTTCTCTTCATTGCAATAATTCTCATTTGAGAGCTGCAGCTGTCGAGAACTTCTTCACCCTCAGGAATACGAAGTAAACCTCAACCAAGCAAAATAAAATAGCTCCGCTCCCACTGCTTTCTCTCTCTCATCAACTGGTAGAGGAGAGGAGGGAGGAGGCTCATCCTCCAATTTAATATGATAATAATTTTCATTCCAGTTCCATGATCTCACTTTTATGAGACTAGCGAGGAGCACTGCGATGACTATATTTCTGGGATTGCGAGGTTCATACATACGTATCCACTGCCAGACGGCGTACAATCTTTTAATACTCCTGCAACGATGATGGTACGAGTAAACAATTGTTCTGCAGAGTGGAAGAAAAGGAAGAAAAGGATTCCACGGGATAAAGGCAGACGTGAAATATGGGGAAAAGTAAGAACCCGAGTAAAAGGGTTCGTATGAAGATCAAGTGTGCATAACTACGGCATCAAGTGTGCTATATATACGACTGCTTCGTACTTATTCGCTCTGCATTGTCCTGCTTTCACTTGTACTTGTTGCGCCAAAGTTATGCTTGAATACATTTTCAGAATTGTTCAAGGTTTTTGGCATTTGTAGCACTAGTGGGACAAAGTATTACTTACAGTATCCACATTTTAAAAAAAAAACATTTAAATATGATTTTGGAACAAATTTTTAACATTGCAAGTCCCCAGCCCATTTATTGCTCGACCACGAACTATAAGCGAAATGCGAAAAAGTGTGGCCGAAAGTAGTGTTGAAAATTAATTTAGTGTCAAGGAGTCAGCCAACTAAATATATACTTCCTGCTGTCTCACTGCATATTCCACGTATGTAGGAGTTTCATAGGTGATATATGTAGGTCGAATAGTACATTTGTATATAAGTATGTAGGTCGAACAACGCCATGAAGGCAGGGCGAATAGAAAGGACTTTTTCCCATGGGCTTGGCTGGAATTTTCTGGAGCAGGAGAAAGTAGCATTTTCTTTTTGCAATAAATCCTCTTTTATTTCATTTTGCATAACGATAATTCAAATTCAAATCCACTGAATCAGATGCAAATGCAATTTTTCACGGAAAAGAGGAAACTGTTTACTTTCGCATTCTCAGGAAAAGGAGCTTTGCCTCACAATGCAACTAAAACCACACTTCTCCGGAATGACTTTGAGAGAAAAAGCAAAATGACAAGGACACACGGCGCCAGTGATAGAAGAGCAAACATAATAAATCTCAGCAAGGTGAAAAAAATTCATTGGAACTCTTGAGACTTTTTGTGCAAACTTTAAGCCTTCAGTTATATATGTAGTGCGTATCTTAAATGAGATTTATTTCTCAGTAAAAAAATGAGCCAGTCGGCGATATTGGTTGGAGGATGAAATACATCGTTTGATCAACATATCAAGTTGAAGGTTAAATGACTCGTGTGAACAAGATTTCCAAAAATGCAAACATTTCGTTTACATTACATAAATAGTTACACGTATGGTGAGTAAAATCTATTATCTACTCGAGAGAAAGTTTGGATTGTGGGTAAGTTCCGTTAGTTAACGATGCCACCTTTGCTAACTTACGTCGCATGTGGTGTCCACCTTTAATTTTAATCAAGGGACTGGAATGGCACTCACGCACCAACATCGTCAACCTGTCGCTCGTTGCCTTTCAACTCGCCATCGCCAATTACTCTCTCACTCAATCTTCCTCCGTCACCGCAACCTTGCATCGTGTAACAGTCACCAGAACACGAAAAGTGTGTAACTTCTCATTTCCTGTGTCATTCTTGTTTCGTCTGCCGTCACAATTTGCCACCCAACTCGTATATATGTGGGCATGTAGGTACATACATGGAGGTACTCGTATACATATGCATATAGGGTGGCTAAATTCAATTCAGAGTTGTTGGCAGTAACGCCAGTGAGATGACGTCCTTGATTTGCTTTGAATACATCGATTTCCTAATGCGATGGTGGTTTGTACTTACATGGCCGAAATTTCCATGAATCTCTCAGCAGTGGACAGTCCAAAAACCAACCTTTCACCAATTAATCACGTACACAAAAAGGTTCGCTTGAACTGATGGGAAAATGCAGAGGGAAAGTGGTCGTGGTGAAACAGAGTGAGCAGCGTTCTTTTCACCTTAAAGTTGTCAACAACAGTATTAAGTGAAGAGGATTCGAGTGAAGGCCCTGTGCAACCAAGAGCTTACTTAGCAGCGGGTGAACTCGTGTAATTTAATTGAAAACAAATCTATTTTTGGACATGATAGAAGCCATCTCGGCCTCGGTGTGGATGAACTTTTATAGCAACTGTGCTAACCAATTAAATTCTACTAATTTTTCAGAATATGGAAAAGTACGGCGAACTAGAAATTCAAGATTTTCACAAGATTTGCATTTCAATGTGAAGTAAACATGAGTTTGTTGGTCTGGTATTAGACAAACGTCGTTGCTTTTCAACTTGAGAAACTTGAACAAAACTAAGAAAACAAGTGTACATACGTACATATGTAGCTGGTAACATTGATGCAACATTTTACGGTAGATGTATATTACATACCGCTTTTACTCCACTTTCACTCCTTTCACCCATGTTACTTTCTAATTGGGTGTCTTTCATCCACTAATTGGGACAAAGAAAAGGAATTGGATTGGAATTGAAAAGATCGCGATCACGTCACGGAAGAGAGTTGCCTGGTTCTCTGGATGCGGGAGGGAGAAAGTGCCCGGCAATGAAACCAACCATGCTCGAAGGACTGATTGCTGCTACATACGTACTTATTTACTATACGACCATCCGTACATTCGTATGTACGTTGATCGAGGAGGTTGGATGAGATGTCAAGGCCAGAGATCTACGAAATAGGAGAAATAGAGGCTGATAAAAAGTTCCATCCACAGCAGCCCCACGACTAAACAGAGCTGTCGAAGGAATGAGAAAGTGAATTGGTGAGACGCAGATCGAGAGGAAAATTAAGTATAGCACAAGGAAGACATGAGAAACGTGTCTTTTTCCTCTTCACTAGAATTCGAGGAAGTAGAGAAAAAGTGGTCAGAGAAATAGTGGTAAGAAGCCGGTTCTCTAATTTGGCAAATTTCCTTGTGATGCGAACAATTCTAAGCTAAACGCTGGTCATTTTTGGATGGGGTGCGAAAAGAAAGAAGTTACAGGAAATGTCACGCTGAAAATGAGTTACATACATATGGCTAACACCTCGATTATCTGTTTGAGAGGGATGGAAATGGCAAATAAATAAGTAGGTCGCATTAATCCCTTCTAGTCCAGCTGCCAACAACATTTTTGACATGCCTCAGTTTTTACATACATATTTACATAATTATATCATTGAAAATTGACACAATTCTTTCCAGTCGAACTAAATGCGTGTCACGCTTATTGTTGTATCTTCCGTAGTGAAATTCTATAAAGTTTCAATTGTATTTGAGACAAATTTTTGGATGGATCGTGAACGTCGCTGTAGCAAATATTACTTGGATCTAGGAAGCTGTGGTTGTTCATCGGGTCCATATTTTTATCCTGACCTAATTTTCCAGCAGTATGTAATCTGTGTGAATAATGGCGACGCTGATGATGATTGAATCGGATCATTTGCACTTTGACTAAATAAAGGGGTATAGTAAATAGGCCCTAATTCTAATTTGAGATGACAGGTGAATTACGTCGACCTTTTAGC